GAACTTGTCCAAATAAGCATCCAAAGGAGCAAAGTACCTCAGCAGGGGTTGGAGAGAAAATGTTGAGAAACCTGTTGTTCTGTGCAGCAGAGTTTTCCAGTGAACAGAAGAACCAGATCTCATGATGTTCCTGCATGTAAATACATATACAAAGGAGACATCAGTGATGGGCAGAAGAAAAAAAGATTATTCCTTGTCCATATAGTTTCCAAAATTCAATTCAATTACTGAACAGAATTTTAAATTTTTTACTTGAGAATTTCCCCAGCTCGCTTGTTGTTGTACAGGTTGCAATGGTGCAGTCTTTGCTTGCCTGGTGAGTTTGGTTTATATTGTCCTGCTGCTTGACACATGGCCTCATAGAACTGGAACTGCAGCACAGAGCTGAGGAATTGACTGAAGAGGATGCACATGGAATTATTTTTAGTAATCCAATAACAATGAATAGCGGTTTCACTGATTAATCCACAGAATCCATGCAGCAGCAATGCTTGCTGGGATGAACTTTTTTTTTCTGCACTGCTTTGACATCATAACTGATGATAGTTTTAGAAAAACCATATACAGGTGGTACCTTGCAATATGACCTCCCACAATTCAACAGTGGAATTTGTTGTGAGGTCAACTTGCAATTTGACGCACAGAGATGGGCAAAAACATCAAATTTGGTTTAGAAAACATTGCATTTGATGTTGATTTGTAATTTGACTGCTTCACAATTTGACCTTAGTCAAGCAATGGATTAGGGTTGAATTGCAGGGCACCACCTTGTCATACTATGATGATGAATACAAAAATCTGGCAGGATGAAAAGAGTGACTTCTTCCCACGCCTGCGCAGTTTTATTTTTTCTACAATTACTTCAAATAACTTAGCTTGAGGGGTTCTTTTGTGTGGATTTTACTTCTAGCACACACTGTAGTAAATTCAGTCATTATAAGCATATATGCCCTGTTCCAAAATGTAGCATTTATTTTGGCATGAAGAAATAAAAGGGGAAGGAACCTGATGATGGGTTGATGACCAGCAACCTCAGGGATGCCAACAGGGTCCAGATGCAGACTGTCTGACCTGTCATTTGGTGCTGCCACACCTTGCACCTCTCTTCTCAACCGCCACCAGTGAGAATTCATTTTTTCCTTGGGCACTCTATTTTGCCATACATCCCTGTAATGATTTAGGGCGAATTTGCATTCAAGGGATTTCTATTTTCTTTTTTCTGCCTCTTCCTGATGAGAAAGAAATGTACATGTGTTTACAATAGGCCTCACCATCTCCATCGCTCAGTGGTTAAGGCAAATGGCATGGATGCCAAAACACCAAGTGCCTTGGCCAATAGAAAGTTTATGTCAGCCCCATGACGCATTGATGCAGATGAGTCACCCTCACTATTCTTCTTTGCAAGATCTACAGCTTCAAGATGCTTCACACTGTCCAGAGACAGTGTGATTGCTCCACCAAGTGCTTCCACAAATCCTGAAAAGAATCAAATAAACAACTGTGATTGTGTTCATTGTGTGGTAAAGACTGTTTTTTTCATATACTGTATATATAAAGGGAAATATCCACAATGCTTAAAAATCTTCTCCAATTTTCTGCAGATTTCAATATGTGCAACAAGAAGAGTGGATCATACACATTCTGATGTAATATGCCCTTGGAAGTTCTAACTTGAATTATTGTTACAAAAGCATCAGTTATGCCTCTGTCATTGAAAAAGCAAAATAGGGGCAACTGTCATAAATCAACTTTTGCATAATTATGTATTAATGTGTCACAGCTAGTTTGTTAGGAAAATATTCTCATAGGAAGCTGCCTTCACATCACAGGTAGTGGTTGCTATTTCAAAATGAGTACAGTCAACCCCTGTTTAACGGACTTGATTCGTGCAAGGGATGAGTCTGTTAGACAAAAAGTTCTTTACACGAATTCAACTACATAAAAATTGAAAATTTCAATTTTCAACACTAATTTTAAACCAAAAGAAGTCTTTTTGGTGGATTTTGTCTGTTGGGCAGGAGGAAAAACTGCTTGCAGAGCTGGTCTGTTCAGCAAAAATCCCTTACACGGGAGGTCTGTTAGGCGGGGGGCCACTGTATTTGAATTTTTTCTTACATGAAAATAACTGGTGCATCCATAAGTGCAGAAATAAAGCAATGTATTATAAGGTATGGTATATTTCATATAAGGTTTGTACTGCATTTTGGTTTATGATTCTTGTCTCACCAGGGAAAGGGGGAGTCCTGAAGACTCTGGGCAGATGAGTGTTGGAGCTGTCATAAGCAATCTGGGTTAGGAGTTGATGTGCAGTCTTTAGGTGATGGGCTGTCACCTTGGTGCATCCCTTCACCCTATATAAATAGGCAAACAGAGGAATGTATCAACAAACTTGTGAATATTTATCTTATAGGCATGATGAAAAGCACTGAACCAGTGGTCCTAAAATTAATGGAATAGGACTTGAAGAGTTTTTTTTAATAAACATGCTGTAGAAAGCCAGATTTTTAAATGCATTTTTATATAGGCAATGCAAATAAATGTAGTTTTCCATCCCTTGCTGCTACAATATGGCAACCCAATTGTCCTGTGTATACTAGAAAATTTAAACCACACTAGGAACAATTTTTGAGAAAAAGCAGTTCTTATTGCCCCAATCTCATATTAGCTGATTGAGTGTCGACTGCTTTTTTTTATAATTGCAGCAAAACTATATTACAGTACTGTATTAGTATTTTTATTACTGTACTGTAATAGCAGCATATACTGCATATATATACATAAAGAGGAAGTAGCATCATGTGTACTTCCTTTTGTAACCAAGTCATAGCTGTAACACTCCATTTCAAAAAAGTGGTAGATCATCAAGAAGGACAAGAACACACCAACAGCAAAAGGAAAAAACAACCTGTAATCATCATTTGCGTGTCCAAAGTTAAAGTCCCACACACTGTTTTGACAGTCAACTGCATGTCCATCAGATGATGATGATGCATCCTCCAGCACAGAATTCTTCCAAAACACTGGACTCAGCAGTGAATCAAAGCCAACTGAAGTGAAGAACCTTTCTGCCAATCTGAACATACTTGTGACTGTGTGTCCCTGCATAAAATGAATATACAGCAGTACAGTATATTGAAGCCAATTTAAAGCATGTTTTACTCATTTTTGTCCATCATAATCAGAATATACGCAGAATTTGAGTTGGGGATACTAATACACTATTGCACTTTTCTATAAAAGAAATTCAGAAGGAGACTAAAACATATTCAGGGAGATTTGAAGTTGGTAATAAGGTTCAACTGTATATAGTTCATGCTTCAAGTACACCCAAACTTTTATTCCATTATGCATGATAAAAATGAAAATTCAAAAGCAACATAACTTTTCTTTGCGGATTTTTTTGTGTTATTTGATTTTGTAACTCAAATGCTGACTGTTCCATTGAAGTAGAATATAGGGCATAACATGATTGAAAATATCTGTAGAAGCTCAGAGTTGCCAGCATCCTTCAAGTGCTGCTGGCCCACTTTAGCCCATCATGATGGAAGAATTGTGACAAATACTCATCCATTATTCACATTTGATCTCAGGGCTTCATTGACATCAAGGGATGAAGTGTTCTTGAATGGACTCGCGTCATCAGCTGGAACTGTGAACTTGGTCACATACATGTCCCCTGTGTTTCAGTTTTGAAAAGGATGACAAAGAGTTATACTGTACATATATCTGCATCAGATTTCTTCCTTTATTCACACATAAAGAAAGAAAAAAAGACTCTCATTATATTCTGGGCATGAGATATTTGGGGATTGACCTGCCAGGTGTGCAGGAAGAGGCTGTCCATCAGTCACCACATCTGGAAACACATGCACCAGTCTGTACCTCACATAGGCATGCAACTTCTTGTACAATGGCACCAATGCCTCCCACAAGGAATTCAGCAGTGAGTGGAATTCCCGCTTTGGCACTTCAAATTCACTGATCAACTCTTCAGAAGGATCCTTTGTTCCTTTTATCAAAGGAATGTAAAAGACATTTTAAATTTCAAAGGACCAACGTTTATCAAAAGCAGTGGATTTTTAAATGCTGTCTCTTCAATAGCAGTGTTGCCAACCAGTATTTTTCAAACCAGCGCTGATCTTCAGAAGTCTTTTGCCAGTCAAACATAAATTTTCTCAAGCCTAATAAGTTTCTCAAAACTATAAATGAAGGACTTTACAGTATCTTTATCTGAAATTTCTGCAAGATAATTGCAGTTAAAATTATCCCATGAAAAATAAAAGTTGGATTTTCTCCTAATACTTGAGACAAATTTTTTGCACCATGAAAGAAATAATTTTTCATTCTGAGACATCAGAATGAAAAGCCCACCTTTTGTTCAAGCCCACCTTCCTAACTTTTTGAAGACATTCCATTATACCTGCTGCTTTATTGGTTCTCAACTTTTTTTTTTTTGCAAAAAAGCAGAAACCTTTTCAAAAACTGCCATTTACAGTATTTCAGGCACAATTTTTTCAAGTGATGAAAAATTTTACAAAACTTTGCAAGTTGCAGAACAATTTTTTTTTAATTTGCCAGACCACAGGCCCAAAAAGGTTGGGGAACACTGATGTATAAGCATGCTTACCAACAGCAGCCAATTCCCTTTGGTACGTGTGCAAATACCGGATGAAATACGGTTTTATGCTTCTGCCAAGCATCTCTCTGAAGGAATTCCAGGCTAGCAGTCTTTCTCCTGCATTGGTGGAATCTGGGTACACAGCATATTTTTGGGAGTAATATCTTTTTTTTTGTGAAAATGGGTTTCATAATTTAATTAGTCTGAATTTCACAATAATGAAGAAAACCCACGTACGTGGATTGAAGGAAGCACCAAAGCCTGCAGTGTTGCTGTAGCTGCGGATGTCTGTCAGAAGCTGCATCATTTTCTTTGTCAATTCATTCACCTGAAATATAGGTATTAAAAAAATATACTCATGCATGCTCAAGTATGTTTTTATATATTCTTTCATTATAGAGTGCCATTGAACTATAATTATCCTTATCATATAGTTCATTTCATGGTCAAATCTAATTCAAGATACAAAAGTATTATCATTTTTTTTTTAACTGGAAGAGAATATCATTCAAATTATTAAAGAATTGACACATGGTGGCAGTTTCCATGCATGCCAATGTTTTTTTTTGTTTGTTTACTGATGATGGATTCCAATGAAATGGAATAATATATTCTCACAGATTTTGATGCCTTTGGTCCGTGTCTGTCCTGAATGGAATTCTGCTTGGCGCTTTTCCAAATCAGTCTCACCAGGAATGGATCTTCATAATTCTTCCAGTTTGCATAAGCCCCTGAGGAGCCAAAGGAATCCCTGAGCAGGTTCAGCACTTGGGCTAACCCATGAGAGGACTGGGCTTCTGCTTGAATCTGCCATCAGCATAAATTATCCAATGCTGTATATGATTATTATATGCACCAATTAATTGGGATTTAATACCTGTATACCAATTACTGCTATATGCAGTAATGAGTTGATATTAGATTTCAGGTGATGAGCAGCATCAGCTCTTTATATTCTCACCAGTTACTTTATATGCTTCATAGATATATGACTGCTAATGATGATGCTGATATATGGCCTTACTGAAGTAACAAAGAGTGTTTTGTACATGCACTGACATTTAATCAGCATGATGATTTGATTGGACTGACTTGGCAATCAAAACTCTCTCTCTCTCTCTCTCTCTCTCTTTCCTACATGACTCAACCATTTGTTTGGCACTGGATTGTGAAACCAAAATAAAACATGTGGTGATGGATATTATTTGCACAATTAAGGGGCTGTCAAAGATGTTATTTTTACTCATCAGAGAATGCCTCATCATGCAGAAGTGTGAGCAATGATGAACCAGAGAAATTCCATCAGCTTCATTGAGAAAATTATTGAGCGTTATATTTCTGTGAGATTCAATCAGCATTTTGCAGGAAGCAGGGTGTGCTGCTCAATTTAAAGATGTGATGCTTCAGAATTCATAAAATTTCATCAAATTCAGTGTGAGCCTGAATAAAGGGATAATGTATCAACCATTTTTTCCCTCATATTCACAGCACTCATTTGTCAAACTTGGAAATTTAGGGTATTTGGATGAGTATAAACCTAGGTCAACTGGAAGACTGCAATTTATTTTTTTAAAAGATCCTCAGCAATTGAATAAAACAGTCAAGATGAGCCTTTCTATGCTATATTGTAATGGAGAGCCCAGCATAGGGACATTGACTGGTTTCATAAACCTGAGTATGTAAAATGTCACCAGAACCTTCAGAAAGTGTACATTTATAACCACTCTATATATCCCTACTTTATTTCATTTCTTCTTCTGCTCATGAAAAGATAAATGAATAAATTATCATGTACTTCTTGCTTTTTCTTTCTTTCTTGTGATGAAAATCAGCACATCATGCATATATCAGGTCTTATTACTTGTAAAAAAAAAGAAACTGGATTTAAAACCCACATTCTCTCAAAATTCCCAATGATTCAATATTATTATAGGACACAATAATATTGTAATATGAGAAACAGACTGACCAGTTTCGCCTGAGTGGCTTCAGACATGTTGGTGCCACAGTTCCACCTGGCCAGGGACACCATCTTGATGAACCTGGAGGCCTCATGGTCCAGTACATTGATGAAGTCCCTGGCAGCGGATTCCTCTTGACCAAGCGAGCTGAAGTTGGCATTATTATTGTTATTCCGTTTCCTCAACTGCTGCTGGCTGCTGCTGCTGATGGGGAACTGCTGCTGATTGAATCCCTCATCATGATGATGATGGGCACCAGCATGAGCAACACCAACAATAATAAGAAACACACACAGCAACAGCAACACTGATGACGATGATGATGATGGACACTTGATGTTGTAGTTGTTGTTGATGATCATCATCATCATCATTGATGTGAGCCCATTCGCGTGGCCAACACCAGACTTGATCCTGCTGCTGGAGACAGACATGCTGCAGCACATATCTGCTGATGAGGGACAGCTAAACAGAGAGAAGAAATATATATAAAACGAAAGAGCAGTATGATGAGCTGGGGGTGGGAGAGTGCTGCATGCATGTACTGTACATCAGTAGATATGCATATGTATACTGTGTATAACAAAAAAAGAGCTTATTCTATTTTAATTCTGCTGTCAGTCATCTATTATAGCGGACAACACTGCTGCTGCGCAGAGGACAGGATTTCATTTCATACGCTGCTGCATGGATGATGATATGAAAGCAGGGGAAAAACCAAAACAAAATAGTGCAGTGGACTATAAGTTCTCAGGATTAGCAAATATTCCATTTGGGCCCCATTTTTAAAATACTTATCTTGTCTCTTTTTTCTTTTGTTGCGCAAAGGCTTGGTCAACACCGAGAATAGGCGGGAATTTCCATCGATCCCTCATCGTTTATTCTGCTGCTGCTGCTGCTGCTGGACGACTTATTTCCCCCTCTCTCATCTCCAACAATAATAATAGTCATATAACGGATCTGAATTCTGATGCTTTCAATACACGATGATGAATAGTTTATGCATATGTATAAGCCAGCATCAGTTATTGAAGTTTCAAGAATAGAATAAGCCTTCATTATCGTATTTTTCAACCAGCAATCACAACTTATTGTCATCATTTATACAGTATTAGTACACTGTACTTATTCATCACAAACAATAAAAACAAGATACATATGCATAAATTTTAACACAACTTTATTGCATTGACAATAAGCTATAGACAAATTTTAGATTTAAAAATTGGTTCTGTAAGAGCATGTCTTATTATGTGCAATGATGAAAATTGAGCAGAGAATTAAAGAAAATGAATAATTACAGCTGGTTACATGTCATAAGGGACCACTGCTGGTAATCTGGTACACAGCAGCTAGACAACACTACAGTACTGTACTTGCTGTACATAACTTGTACACAGCAAGTCTATATTGCATTATTGATGCAGTGGGTGTCCAAAAAAGTTCTGGGAACTGTGCAGCAGCAACAGGAGTGATTTAATGCAAATCATGGTTTTCATGTTTTGTCCACTCATCCTGGAGTTAGTTCAATGTAGGTGTCACTGCTGCATGCATGCAGAAAAGTCACTGTATAAATGCAATGTACAGTGTGTGAATACAGGACATGGACTCATCTAATATCACTGCAATGATCTTTCTGTCTAAATACAACAAGTTTCTCTGTATAACTTTTTTTTTTGTGGTTCCATAAGGTTTTTTCCCCCATGTATAAAGGCTTTTTCTGCTACAAAATTGTCCCTTTTCCTGGTCCTTTTGAATTTGTTGTATGCAGTACACAGAGAGAGAGAGTTGTCCATCACGCACTTGTGTATTATTATGAATCTGCTTCTGGAGTCCAAAAACCTCTTGAGCAGCAGAAATATGGATAATAATAATTGATTAATTGGTCCCTATTTTTTCCACTTGCTGCAATGAAATATTTTATTGGGGTTGGTATACATAGATGCCGCTGCTGGCTGCAACTGTTTCGGCATGTCTGGGGTGTCCAAAAATGTCCTTTATATATTTGAAACAGGAAAGTTGTTGCATGAAACAAAACAATTTTTACTTTTTCTCATACAGAAATTTGTCCACTGCTAATACTGCGCATGTGCGCAATATGACAGATGCGGGGTTTTACTCTGCAGATGTCACTGCCATGATGCAATACTTCGGATTGTGGAAAAGTATACACGTAGGATGCAAATTTTTTTAAGCAAATGCTGTTCCCGCTCAGCAACAATAAAAATTTCCTAAACTGAAGGCGCTTGTGAGTTTTATGACTCATCTGACGTACTGTGCAGTTTTCTAACTCCGTGACCACCCTAAGCTTGGGTGCCAGAGGACAAATGTTCTGTCCGCGTAATTGGAGATACGATGTCGCGGCGAACAACTTTATTAGCCATAAAAAAGCTCATTTCACCAAAAAACTTTCAAAGAAAAGAAAAGAAAAGAAAAAAGAAGAGAGGAAAACGGATGATTTCCCAGAACCAATCCTCGGTAATGGAGAAGCAACTATTCAGAGGCCGGGAAGTCGTATGGCTTCAGGAAACACAAGAGATGATCCTCATTGACGACCTGCGCAGCGCAGAAAAAAGGGCCTGCCTTTGACATTCTGCTGCTCCTGCTGCTGCTGTCATGCAAAAATAAACCATAAAGGAAACCTGACATTTCACTTTTGTATCTTGCTTCCATCAGTTAGAATGTCACTTTCTCTCTCTCTCCCTCTTTTTGCATAAGTGCTCGTTATTACATCAGTGTTGGAAAAACAATTTTTTATATATGAAAAGATATCACACATATATGTTCTGTGCAGGTGCTGTAGCTGAAACCGTGTGATTTCAGTCATGATGATGTGTGAATTAATTTCTTGTTGTTGCTTATACATGTGCATCAGCACGTTATTCAAGGGCGAAAAACTGATTACGGTGACCACCAGCTTAATGCTGTAGGGTGCAGATTACAGTATTATTCCTGCAATAAATTGGCAAATATAAAATCAGGAGTAATAACAACTAACAAGTGAGTGTGGCACTATATGTATACACACTGTATATAAATGAGGAAAAAAAACTGTAGGTGAATTTCTCAAAATCAAATTTGACAGCTTGTTGTTTAGTTTTAAAATATGGTTTAATTATATGTGTTGGTAAATCACTGAAGCTTATTTTCTGGCATAAATAATCATCAAAGGATTTTATCATTTTTATAGTGGGTCTATATATATACACCAGCTGATGGAGTAAATGCAATAGCAAAGCGTATCTCAATACTGTATATCTTGAATATGCATTTTATTGGCTGCTGGGTATTTGGAAAGCCCATCAGACTGAAATTCAAACTTGTTACCCAGCCAGCAGCTGGAGAAATGTATCTGCTGCAGCACTTATATGTATCAGGAGAAGCATCTGATATGGGGTTTGAATGGCACATCTCAAAACTGATTTCTGATATCCATCTCCCAGATACGCTTCTGTTATTTGCTGGGTGCAGGAATATAACTTTTCAAAACTATACAAGCACTTGTGCACAAATGTTTTTTGAGTTACACAGAGTGAAGTTTTAAAACGCATTGGACTCATGTCAATATGAAGATTGACAAGCGAGATTAACTGGCAAGTTGAATGAGGGATTATAGGCTTTGACTAGGATGAGAGTTTATATTGACCTGCAGAAAAGCCATTCACAAAACAAAATCAAATCTCAGCAATTCACTGATGCATGTGCGTTTTCTTTTGTCTTCAGTCCATCCTCAGGGGGCATTCCTCAAAATAACCTTCCACACTATATACTGTATATGCATGCTGTGCAGCCATGCTTCTGAAATAGCCACCCCGAAAAAAAAAGCTGGGAAATAAGTCAACATATCAATAAGCAAATTAAAAGATGGCGACCCATCAGAAGCCAAGCAGCAATGGCGGTGGCAAGGGGACTCCAGCCAGGGTGAAACCCAGGGATGTCAGACCCAGACCCAACAAGCTAAACAGCCCTGAATCCAGGAAAAATTCAGAGGCAGGCCATGATGACATTGAAGAAGAACCTGATGAGGAGATGGTCTCTCAGCCCCTGACAGCAAGAGAAAGGAAGTACCTCCTTGCTGTGGAAAGAGGAAACTTGGCAACAGTGAAAAGGTAAGCTATTTTATCTACAATATTTGCAAGTTTAAAAATCAAGGCATGTTGAGGAGAAAATAAGAGATGAAGCCAATGAAGGTTTCTTCCTCAATCAAAACTACAAATAATTAAATTCTAAGCATCTCAATCTGTCCTAAACTCTGAACAACAATTATCCTTTTATCCCTGGTGATTTGTGTGCGCACTCCTGTGCTATTATTCAAATCTGTCTTGTGCATTGTGTTCTTATTCTTTGCATTCAACTTGATCACAAAATAAATTATTGAAAAACCAGGAACATTTATTCAAGGAAACCTATTGAATGTGTGCCTGCATTTTTATTTTCATCATTTTGGGATCCTTGATCACAAGAAATTTTTTCCTGTGTACCATCTAAAATATGTGATATTTTTTCCAGGAAAATTTGATTTTGCAGCATGCAAATTACATTTTTCTTTCTACATACAGTATATATTAATTTACCGTATGTATAGGAAATGTTATCAAAGGTTTTCTTCAATGTTGCTGATGCAGTCATTACATCAATGCGCTGGGGATATGGACTTAACATGGCAGGATATTTTATTCATTCACCCTTACCTCCATTAATAATTAGGGTGTAGCGACTATTTGTAACAGCCTATTCGCAAATGCGACTTTTTGTTATGGGCAATTTGTTATGGGTGGCCTTTTGTTATGAAACATTTTTGCTACTGGCACTACTTTGTAACAATCATGTACGTTACAGTAGTATTTTGTTACATTGCTCTTTTGTTACAAGCTAGTTTTGTATCATTACAATTTTGTTACAGAAACACTTTTTTGTTACAATAATTAGAGCATAAGCTGGAAGCATACTAAATACCTCATTATTGCAGAGAGGAGATAAATAATACTTGAATTGACATTTCTATAGATAATCTATATTATATACCAATCATTTATGGATCAATTAAAAATATATCTATGACAACAATGCATCATCATGCATGTGACAGACATTAAAATAATCCTTACATCATACACATTTGGCAGCCATCAAAATGCGTGAACCTTATTGCTGATTGAGTGAATGCATGATATGTTCATATGTATAGCAATATTAAAGTGACAGCATCTTTTTTTCAGATTTGTGGAGGGTGGAGCAGCAGATGATGAAGACTTGAAGAAACCAGGTGACCAGCAGCAGCCATCAGGAGAAGAACCCCAGGAGAATGAGCCAGTCAACATTGACTGCACTGACCCCCTGGGCAGAAGTGCTCTGGTGATAGCCATAGAAAACGAGAACATAGAGCTCTTGTACTACTTGCTGGACATTGGGGTCAAGCCCAAGGACTCTTTGTTGCATGCCATAGAGGAACAGTATGTGGAAGCTGTGGAGATCCTGCTGGACTTTGAAGAGGCCACCCACAAACCAGGCGAACTTTATGTAATTTATCTTATACAGCAGTACATCAGTGTATAAACACACAATAAGAACTGAATCAAATTTTGGGTTGCATGATGCAACTCACCAAATTTCATCAGAGACATGAATGTACAATTCATTGCTGAGAGAAATAACTTATGTCATGGTTTGTGAAGCTGAATTAATACCCCCTAAAATTATATACAGTACTACAATTTTATGTGAGAAAAAGTCTTTAAAAAAGTTACAGTACTTTTCTCAGGAACACGAATTGCAGTTAATTCTGGAATAGTTTCATATTAGAATAAAGAAAGAATGTAAAGCCTGTTCAGGAAAAGTGTGATACAATATGTGCAAGAACACGGTTTATCTTTTATCCCAAATTTGAAATTATACAGTTGGTGCATTGCAATTTGACCATCCAGCAATTTGATGATGAGATATGCTGGGAGGTCAACTCTCAATTTGACCTCTGCTGTTCAATTTGACCTGTACTGGAGAGACATGAAATGTCAAATATTCCTTGTAGAAAATGTGCCATTTGACATTGTCTCGCAATTTGACTGCTTTGCGAGACAACCTCAGTCCAGGAATGGATCAGGGTCAAATTGCAAGGAACCACCCCTGCATTTGATATAATATATAGACATGACAAATTTGCTTGCTCAAATTTTGAAAGTACTGTGTGCATATTTAATTGTCCTAAACTTGAAGCATAAATTGAAGAAGCAATACAAATTGATGTAAATAATTTGTTGACGGTACTTTGAGAGGATTCAAAATTATAGTGTTGCAAAATCCCTTTGAGCATATATTGTTATTTAGAAATGAAAACTTTACAGTTTCCCCTCTTTGAATAATAATGTTCTGTATTTTGAACAATAAGATGAACAAGAGATGCTGATGGATGATATACAGTGAGACCCCCACATGCGGATGCCTCAACATGGGGACAATTTGACAAAGGGAAATTTATTTTTCAACAAAAAATCAAATAAAAGACCCAACATGAGGACACGGACTCAACCTGGGGACATTGCAGGATATAATTCCAAAATAGATTTTAGGAAAATCGATTTTTATAAGGCTTAATTGCAACAAACAGATTTTTCCAACCTAAGATCTATGCAAGAATAATTCTTTGGTACTTTTCCCATCATTTTCCCATTCATTCAGCTAATTTAAAAAATGCCCTATAGCACAGAGGGACTTCCTTCTAGCTCTCTTTGTGACACGTATATTATTTTTCCAGATGCCAACCTTTCAATTTACTGTACAGAGGTACACTATTCAATGTTCCAAATGTTCTTATTGGTTTGAAAAGATATTCATTGAATCAAATTGAAGTGGCAAAATTTTTTTTTTCATGAAATTCTGAAGAATATTTCTTCCATAAAACACCAATTAAAAATTATGCAATGTAAGTCTATGGGAAAACAAGATTTGACTTGGGGACAATCCGACATAGGGACACTTTTGATGCACCAATTATGTCCGCATCTGGGGTCTCACTGTACTGTACAGTATTATTGCGAAATATAATTGTTTGGGCAGAGCTGGGAGAAAGTGGATGACAAGGAAGCTTCCTGGACCCCAGACGTGACTCCGCTCATCTTGGCTGCTCACAAGAACAACTATGAGATCCTCAAGATCCTCTTGGACAGGGGGGCCACTCTTCCAATGCCTCATGATGTCAAGTGTTCTTGTGATGAGTGTGATTGTTCTTCAAAAACTGATAGTCTCAGGTCAGAGTTTCAATCAAGTCATTTTTATTTTATTTTACAGTATATACATATATTGCATTTTAAAGCACTTTTGAAGAGTATTTAAATGAAATACACATGCTTCTGGATGATTCTGGTCTTTTTTGATGATGATGTGCTGCACATCACGTAATATGCATATATATGCATATTTACATATAGGCACTCGAGATCCCGCATCAATGCCTACACAGCCCTGGCAAGTCCGAGCCTGATTGCACTGTCCAGCAGGGATCCCCTGCTCACGGCATTTGAACTGTCCTGGGAACTGAGGAGGTTGAGCAGAGTTGAAAACGAGTTCCAGCAAGAATACACAGTGGGTTTAATTTTTTAAAATAATTCATATACAGCAGGAATATTGTTTGATTATCATTATTATTATTATTATCGGACGGATGCATCAGGACCTGAGAAGACAGGTGCAGAAATTCGCAGTGGACTTGCTGGACCACACCAGGACTTCCAAGGAGCTGGAAATCATGCTCAACTACAATCCCGAAGACGTGTTTGAGAGGGAAGAGGAGCAGCACGGCGGCAAAATGGGGTTGGAAAGACTGAAGCTGGCCATAGACTACAGGCAGAAGGAGGTATACTGCCATGTATATTAAAGTAAATTAATTTGCAATCATAAATATTATCCATGTAATTGCTCTTTTCCTTTCAAATGATTCAACGATCGATTGATGCATCTATTGTATGTATATGTATAGTTTGTTGCACATGCAAATGTGCAGCAGTTGCTGACTTCTCTGTGGTACGACGGGATGCCGGGGTTCCGCAGGAAAGCCATGATTGCCCAGGGCTTCGAGATCATGAAGATCGGGGCCACGTTCCCGCTGTTTTGCTTCAACTACTTGCTGGCCCCCCACTCGGCCACGGGCTCCAAGCTCAAGCAGCCCTTCATCAAGTTCATCGTCAACTCTTCCTCCTACATGTTTTTCCTCTGTGAGTATTATTAAGCCTGCAGCAGTTATATATTGTACTTTAATTTTCTACGAGGGTTGTTTCTGCATAAGTCTTGCGACTGCAATATTTAAAATATAGATCCAACACGGTTTGATATCATTTATTTGAAAAACATTTTTTTTTTTACTCGCATAAAGTTTATTATTGTCACGAGGCAACACTTCCGTTTACTGTATACATAGTGCTGCAGTTTTTGACGTGATAGATCCAACAACCAAAACAGTGGCGTAAAACAAGTTCGAAATGAAATTCTCCTGATGGCACCACTGTTTGTCTTTTTTTTCTCGTTGGATTTATCGAAGGAAAATGTGCATTGAAATTGGCAGAGAGTATTTCGAGTGTTGCTGCGTGAAGAGGTTAAGTGGGTTAAAACAAAAGGAAAAAAGAAATTTGATTGACCAATAAAACCGTGTTGGATCAATTTGAAATAATTGCAAGACTTATGAGCATCAAGGCAGAGGGACGGGAGCATTCTTCCATCACTATTTTCTTGAAGGATGAGAAAATGTGCAGGAAAATCCTGACGCATGCAGTACATTACTTTATTTTTGTCTATGTATAATGAAGAGAGAATTGATGAGGCAGGGAAAAGGGGAATACCAAAAGTATTTCCTCTTTCTTATTTTCCAGCATAACAATAACCTTTAAAAAAAAAAAGCCCAGCCTTTTCATCAATGGGCTCCAATGTGTGTGTATATATATATATATATATATATATATATATATATATATATAAAGCTTTCTGCACACATATAGCCAGCATAAACAATTCATGAATGGCTGCAGCAGGAATTATATTCCATCTAATTAATAGAGCAGCACGTATATACAGCATGATAAACGAGATTATCTGCTGCTATTCATATCATCATGTATATACTTTTGCTTCCAATAATAATAAAGCACTATTACTACAGTATATACTCATCGCCATCAGCACTTTCTGATGATGTAATCATCATGCACCACCATCATCACATGTTTCCCTTTTCTTATTCATATATGTCATCATAGTCTTGCTCGTGATTGTGAGCCAGCGCGTGGAGAACATGGCCATCCGGCTCCTGGGCACCCAGGGCATGGTCCAGCGGCTGGCCGAGTGGGAGAAGCAGGACCGCGGTGCCCTGCCGTCCTACGTCGAGAGCCTCATCATGTTCTACGTCCTCGGGTTCGTGTGGGCCGAGGTGAAGCAGTTGTGGGACGCCGGCGGCATGCTCAGCTACGCCCAGGACATGTGGAACTTTGTCGACTTTGCCATGAACTTCCTCTACTGCGCCTGGATCGGGCTCAGGTAATGTACTGTACTGTACTGTATACATGCGCGATGAGATATCCAGTACAGTATTTGCAGCAGAAAATATATTTATAGTGTATATTCTTCCATCACAATCAAGTGTTCCGAACCTTTTTTTTTATATTTTTGGATCTATATATGCATCAGACCAGCAAATTTCCGTAAAGAGTTTTTTTTTTTTTAAAGACTGCTGGAAAACATTATTATTTGCTTGATGGAGTTTATGGCATCAGTCATATACACTGTACTGTATAAAATTTTCTGCTATATATATATATTTCTGTAATGTATATACGCATGTATAGAATGTTTACTACCGTATATGTCCATCAGGGTGGTGTCATGGTTCGTGGTCCAGCGGGAACTGGCGTATGGCTATGACCCCTACATCCCCCGAGAAAAGTGGGATGCCTGGGATCCCATGCTTCTGTCCGAGGGTGTCTTTGGAGCTGCCACCATCTTCAGGTGATGTATACGTACATGATGTATGTATGTATGTATGTATGTATGTGTGTATGTACAGTACATAAAAAGAGACGATGATCAACCTTTTTTTTTCCGGCATCCATCAGACAATATAAATCCTGATCTATACAGCAGTATATATGCAGCACATTTTCACATTCACATTGTTCCACTTGTGATGATGTGCGAGTACCATAAATATATGAGCGTGATGTGTACAAATTATTGCACATTATTCTGGTGATGATTATTGATATAACTATAACCCCTCATTATTTGATATATATCCTTTTGTCGTCATACAATATATATTACTGCTGAATATGTAATGTGCTGGTTGCTGAAACGGCATGCGTGTATTAGTTGCTCCATATAAATTAGCTTCACTTCAAGTTATAAAGTAATGCTGCGGACAAAATAATAATAAATAAATAAAAGAAGCGATGACGAGTATATACATAACTTTTTTTCATATCATCATGCAGCATTCTCAGACTCGTGCACATCTTCTCGGTGAACCACCACCTGGGCCCGCTGCAAATCTCCCTGGGCCGCATGATCTACGACATCATGAAGTTCTTCTTCTTCTACATCCTCGTCATCTTCGCCTTCGGCTGCGGCATGAACCAGTTGCTGTGGTACTACGCAGACATCGACCGGGAGAACTGCTACAAGGGCGGGCACCTGCCGGACAGGGGCAACGCGGACCACTCCTGCGACGTCTGGAGACGATTTGCCAAGTGAATAAGTGAAAGAAAAAAAGAAAAAATCATTATTCCCGCTTCCTTATATTCTGCATGCATCATGATGCATCAGTATTATAATTATTGCAATAATGTAACAAATAATAGTCCTTATTGTATATATATATAGATACTCATTTTGGGATGGGGAATTTCTTTCTGGATGATATGGTCATCATTTTAAATATATACTGTGTTAATCTCTTTTGATTTAACTTTAATTTTGAGGGGTATATATATATATATATATATATATATCAGCTGATTTGAGTATACGTATATACTGGAAGTATATAAGGAAGGAGTCTTTATATTCCCAATTTCTACTGCATGATGATGTATCCGAAATATCTCATTTCAACCATCATCAGCAGGCCCATCCATCAGCAGAGACAATAATAATCAAGACACAAATAATAAGATGCTGCACAGCACAATCAAGAGTCACAATATCAAACTCACGTATATATATACACTGCATCAGCACTATAAACACCTCCTGCTGCTGCTGTGCATGATGCCAAATAATGCCCAATTTTGGAGGAATTGCCTGGGGTTTTATACATCAGTACTGGGTATACTGTGTATATATGGGAAACCAAGGGGTAAAAACCAGGAATAGGAGAATATGTACCTGATGTGCGGATGTGTGTGTGTGTATTATATAGGTGTCATATTAAGAACAATAAAGACAAGAAGAGCTCGTTCCTGGAAGGGGTGCATGCAGCACCTGCCGATGCTGAGGCTTCTGCTGATGGTCCTCTGTATAATATAAAATTATGAAAATTCAACGATGATGATGATGATGATGATGATGAATAATATGGTTGCTTATAACTTATAAATTATATATATGTTGATGATCTTGATTTCGTCTCAATTTTTTCCCCATTCACACAAATGAATAAACGATAATATATATGCATGCAGCCCCTTCGAGACTTCCCAGTCCCTGTTTTGGGCCAGCTTCGGCCTCATCGACCTCAACAACTTCGAGTTGACCGGGATCAAGAGCTTCACCCGGTTCTGGGCCATGCTCATGTTCGGCTCCTACTCGACCATCAACGTCGTCGTCCTGCTCAACCTCCTCATCGCCATGATGAGCAATTCCTTTTCTGAGATTGTGGCAAGTATAATTACTATATATATATAAATATATTAAAAAATAAACAGAGAGATAATGCATGCATGCATGCAGGTGAAAGCCGATGTGGAGTGGAAGTTCGCCAGGAGCAAGTTGTGGATCAGCTACTTTGAGGACGGCGGCACTGTGCCGCCGCCCTTCAACGTCATCCCGTCGCCCAAGTCCATCAGGGCCCTGTTCGGCTGCGGAGGCGCCCCCAAGAAGAGAGAGTCCTTCCGCAAAAAGAAGAGGGGGGAGAAGGAGCGAGAACACAATGTGAGCTACACGTATTATACATATGCTGATGTAAATATATGTATATAGGTCGTCGACTTGATGATTGCCTCCTCGTCTGCTCGATTAATTAATAACTCATGTGCTGCTGCTGCTGCTGATGATGATATGAACTCTGCTCATGTTACTACAGTTGATTATATATACCCCGGTGCACGGCTTTTTAGAAAACGTTTCCTATTTTGATTTGAACTTCCTCCAGCCAAAAAAATTTCAAATTTGTAGAAATGCATTGTGCATCCAAGAAAAATTTTAAAATTGAAATTGCTTCAAAAATATTTAGAGTTAAACTTGAAAGTCCAAAAATTGTTTGTTTTCCAACCTTCTCAATATAAAAATTCACCATATGATTTCTGCTCAACAAAACTCTACCTTTTTTATAGGGTGGATGCGCAATGAAGTTCTGCACATTTCCCCATTTCCAACTTTGAAAAATTCCAAAAATTGACTGAGATATAAAAAAATGCAGACCTTTTTCAAAAAATTGAGTGAAAAATGGGAAAAATTTCTTTTTAGATCTCAATTTTTAACTGATCAAATTGAAAACCCCATGTCATTGCAAATACAGCTGCACACAATTTTTTAATTNTTAAAAATCAATTTTTAAGTGCTTCCAGCCAAAAAAATTCCAAATTTCCAGAATTTCACTCAGTATGTAATGATGATTTCAAATGTATGTTATGTATGTATGTATGTATGTATGTATGTATATTTTGTTACATTGGGGCACTAACATAGAAAAACAGTGCAATGTTATGTCTATAATGTGATACAGCAATTCTTTTTTCAAATATAATATATAAAAATTTGAATTCCCAAGTTCAAATTAGGGTGCAATTAGTAGTAGAGCGTCCGCACTGCGGACACTCTACTACTACAGTAGTTACTGCAGAATATTTTAAGGTAATGTGGCGCTTATAAAGAAAGTGTGGCAACCAGCATGGAAAATACATCCATTGCAAAGGAATTACTGCATACAAGAGTACATTTACACATATTCAGTTTAGAAGATACAGTGTACATCATAAATTGTTGAAAAATATCACCGCTGTGATTCTTGGAACTAGAAAAGAAATAAAAGTCTGCATTTACTGTATATATGTGCATATATTCAGCAGCAGCAGCAGAAGAAGAGGAATAGAAGAAGAAGAAGAAGAAGATGATGATCTCTCTCTTTCTTTTAATAAGTGCCGCACATATAATTATTATTATTATTACTACTACTACTACTATTATCATTTACACCACGACAGAAAGTGATGAAGTGCATGGTGAAGCGATACGTGACGGCTCAGCAGCGAATCAACGACGACACCGAGGTGACGGAGGACGACGTGAACGAAATCAAGCAGGAAGTGTCGTCCTTCAAGTACCAGCTCTTTGACCTCATGCGGCAAAACAACTGGAAAATGGACGGCGTGGACAAGGGAGAAGGAGGTACAGTACAATATATGCACACATTCATATATGTCTGTCTGTCTGTCTTTCTGTCTTTCTCTCTCTCTCTCCCCTCCTTTATGCTTGTGTCTGTCTGTCTGTCTGTCTTCTACATCATGCGCTGTTCCTATATATTGTGTATATATATATCATCCATACATGATATATATTTGATGGATGCTGACATTTTCAAATACTACTGATGCATACGATGGATCATACATCATCATCACATCGATCATGACAAACTACTCACCATCACAACTCTGACCTGCTGCTCTTTTCTTCTTGACTATGTTTAGAGAGAGACGCGGGTGAGTTGGTATATATATATGTATACTCTACATATTATACATACATACAGTATATATGTATTGGTGCATGATTCTTTTTTTTTTTTTACTTTGTGTTATTACTGTTGTTTATTGTCTATATATGAATGCAGTATATAATGTTTGCTGTCATATACAGTAATGAAAAAAGAAATTCAAGGGTCCCCAGCGCATCAGCAGCATATCATATATTCAGCACTATAAAAAAAGACTTTGTTTTGTTTCAACTGTCTTTCTCGCCAAATACCCGATTATCATCTGCTTTATTTGTGCGGTGTAATGATGCACTGTACATGTATGTTACCCGCATCAGCACTCATCAGTTGCCACAAAACAATAACACACATATTTTATACCATCTCCTGTACTGTATATATATATATATTTCTTTTTCTTGAGCTCCGAGTTATTGTTGCGATTTATATACGGTGATAGATGATGACTGACTGACTGACTCGAACTCGGTTAATTGTGATGCTGGCATTTATTGTTGAAATTTGCACGCACGAAATTCTGGAATTGAAAAAGGCCTCGGGAGACGGGAGAGGACAAAGGAGAGGCGACTGCTCAAGGGATTCAACATTGGACTGGTTGAGGGCGTCAACTTTGAAGTGGTTGCCGACAGGGGATCGTCCAATGCTCTGGCCAAGATCATCATGAAGGTATAATATAGCATTTTCTTATTTATTTATTTATCCTTATTTGCTTCTCTTATTCATTTGTTTATACTCTACTTTTATCTTTTCATTTCGAGATATATGCTGTGCAGGAGTGTATACGTTCACAGCGTGAGACGTTGGGTTGGCAAAGCCTTTGTTGGAAAAAGTCCATATAAAGTATACTGATGTACACTCGAACCTCCCTATTTACATAAGTCGAATTTTTCTTTTCAAGTCCCGATCTGAATTCCCTCCCTGATAGAAGCTATATTCATTATAAAATACTGTGTAACTCCGAGTCTTTTTTTTTTCTCAAACCTTCATATAAATCAAATTTTTGAGGCCTTATTTATTTGGCCATAATTTTCTTGACACATCATGACAAAAGAGAAAAGCAATAAAAAGTGATTTGAGCGATGCAGCCTTTATGGAAATGAAGCTATAGTGGAAGATAGCAATACAGTACTCTATTATTGAGGAAATGAAACCAAGCAGCTCCAAGTTCAGCTTGCTGCTGTCAACATCATATACATGTAAGAAGCCCAAAATTAAGGTCAAAAATATCCCCATTTACAATTTCTGCAATTTTTTTCACGTTTCCCTGGAAAGACTTGCTTAACTTGCTCAACTTCCCCAATTCCATTTTGTTTGCTGGTCCCTTGAAATTTGACTTATATTGCATAAATACATTTACTGTATCGAGAGAGATTCGAATGCTGCATATTAAATCCTAGATTGTTTCCTTAAAAGTTGCTGGTGCTGTGTACATCAGTACTGTAGTATACATAAAGTACCATCATCATCAGCAGCAGCAGCATTAATTTACATCAGCATTGGCCCTTTTATGTAGCACAGTACAGTACAGCACAGTATGCATAATACTTGTGTTGTAATTATTATTATCATTATTATAACAGTAAAATCTTGTTACAACAAATAACGTTACAACAAATTTTTCATTATAACAAACTTTTTTCGAGTCTCCACATAAATCCTATAGTTATAAAAATTTCATTACAAAAAAACTGCCAATTCCAGTAAATAACAAACTTTTTTGAGGAACATTCTTTGATCTCTCAATAAAAAATCCCTAATGGAGGCAGGCCCAGTCTCACATTTCCCATTTCCGATGTGACTGGTTATTGGAACATAAGGTGGAATCAAGCACAACAATTCTTCAAAGTTCACCAGAAATTCCTCTCTTTCAAAAATGATTCTTATGTTAGTAATGATGGTGGGAGGGGGGGGTATAGATGGAAAAAATGAGCCCAGCACTAATATGTTAAAAAAGGGTTTGAGAAACACTATAGTGATGTAAAAATTGTCAGCAATTTTGGAGCATTCACCCTTACAAATCTTTGGAGGAATTGCTTAGAAAAACTTTGAGTCAAGAAGGTGTGCTAGTATTTACGTGTTATATGGAGTATCTGTTTTTTTATTATTATTAACAATTACATTTCTTTTTGAAGATCACAGCTTTTTGACCATTGAAAAACAACTGAAAAGGCCACAAAAGGAAGACCTTTAATATATGCAGGTTCTATTTGAAGAAAATCTTCCAATCAGTCAACAATTTTCAAAATCTCAGTATAACAAATTATTTGTTACAACAAACTTTTTCTGAAGTCCCCAGCACAAGTTTGTTGTAATGAGATTTTACTGCATTACACGTATACAGCAGTACCATCATGTATACATGTAGGAGTATACAGTATATAGACTGCACTTGTAATGATATGGAAATACGAATGAATGAATGAATGAATGAATGAATGCAGGTGACCAAGCGCGGCAGCAGCAAGCGGAACTGGAACGAGATCGTGGCGGCCAACGCGCCCAAGGTCGTGGACCAGATCGGCCAGCGGGCCGAGTACCAGCGACGGCGGACGACGAGACGCGGCGGGTCCAAGTTGCGGCGGGAGACGGTGTTGCCGACGTCGCGCGGGTGGCGCCGAGTGGCGGCCGTGGCGCGGGAAGGCGGCTTCCGGGGGGGAAGACTCAACAGCTTCGTCATCAGGCGAGTACATATACCGTATACACACTGTATTGTATATATGAAATACTCATGGACAGTAATGGGACCCCGATCATCAGCAGATAACGATGATGACCTCATCATCATTTTTCCAATACTGTATATATAGCAGCTTCAATGGAAATATTTTCAATCATTTTTGGTTTATTTATTGTCTCGATATCTTCGCTAATATGTTATTATAGCTCAGTAATTGAGGAAAAAGTCTCATCCCCAATATGATTAGAATGAAAACAATTTCCATCAACTTATTACTATTGAATAAGATACAGTAAAGTAAGTAAAGAAAACAACCAGCATCATGCATCTCACCATTTTGACATGAAAATAAACTCAATAATAATAAAAAACAATAACAACAAAAACAGGTTTTTGCTACAATAAATATATATACTAAACACAGTACTGTACTACAGTGAGCATCAATCACTTTTTTCAATTAATAAGCCCGAAATTAGCCTGTTATTGATTATGCATTTGGGTAATTTTAAATGATAACCCTTATATGTACACATTTTTAGATTTTCAAACTGCTGTTGATGTCAATTTTTCTAACAAATATAAAAATTTTAAAAAATGAACTAGAAATATTTTTCCTGAAATTTTTGGGACACTGTTCATAAGTCGAGTTCTTGTCCGAATGTCGGGGCTGCAGGTTTTTATCTTTTAAAGCTCATCCAAGTGTGCCCAAGTCGAATCGTATCCGTGCATCAATCGGGGTCTCATTGTACAGCATTTATACAGTACAGTACAGTACAGTATATTGGAGAACTCCATCTATATAGCTGTTGCACAATTCAAAAGATATTATAATTCCCCTTTATATATACCGTATACATATAGCAGTATTATTTAGATATAGGTGGAATAATTTGTATTCTTCATGCGGGTCATCCCCATCAGCTCATCTAGCTCGTCGTCGTCTGCATATCACGCGTTAATATATGAACGACGACTTGATTTGACTTTTGAAAAAAGGTTTGAACAATTAATATACGCTGCTGATGTATATACCGATGATATTCAATCCATCATATATATATACCTGTACCTATATGCTGTACCCCTCCTCATTGTCGCAATAAATTCCAAATGCACATATATACTGTACTGTATATATGCACCTCTTTCATTGCTGATTGATGTCCTTTCTTCATCCTCATTTATCATGATGCACATACAAATAGGCAAAGAGTCGAGACGGAGAGACGCCAGAGCATCGCGCACGAAGGCTGGGCCAAAGTGGGCAAGTTGTCGGACGTGGGCGCGTTCAAGCGGTACGACAGCGAAATCCTGCGGCACAACAGGACGATGCAAGCATCAGCAGGTACGCGTGAAGGATCCACAGCGTACAGTATTCCTTTCCTTATGTATATGCTGTACTGCGTATACATAATACTCATCTACAGTACTGTATACTGTACATAGCAGTAAATAACATAGCGTAACATACAGCGTCATATACATGCTGCAGCTGAGTACCTCCATTATGACGATAAGTACTGTATATAATAACTCATTAATAAGTACCCTCCCTAATAATAAATGTGTCAATAAACCAATAAGCCCCTGTTTGCTGGATTCCATTGGAAATAAAACGCATTAAAAAAAAAAGAAATCCTCCCTATATATATTCAAATAATAATTCGAATTTGTTCCTGCTGCTGCTGCTCGGTCCCTTATTAAAATTCGACCGTATATACAATAATATACTCCACTATATTATGTAGAACCCCTCGAAAAAAAATTCCACTTTAAGACGGCATCATCGCGAAAAGCATCGTCCAATAATCTGCTTATACAGTATTCGATGTGCTTCTGCTACAGTATTTCCAAAACAAATAAAAATAAAATGATAAAGAGAAGGTAAACTTGAATACTCTAATCGATATACTGTACAGTAGAGACTCTCCGGCCTTCTCCTTATACTGTATTGACATCATCATTTGCCAAGTATTGCATCCAACTTTTCTGTTGGCAAAATTAAAAATATTTCATGTGATTCGATCACCTACAGTATATACTGTACTGTATATCGTCGTTAATTCCAGTATAATAATACTGTACTGTATTCATCAACTAAACGAGAAAAAAAGTATTTTGCAAGTACTGTACAGTACTGCACTGCACTGCACTGCATATAAACTGTATTGATGACGATGTGAATCTCGATATGATACGAAATGCAGCCAATAAGGAACCCGAAGCAATAACAGCATCAACAGCATCAGTAGGATCCGACATGAAAGACACGACGAAGACGACGACGACGACGACGACGACATCATCATCATCAGCACCACCTAGTGCTGCTGCTGCTGCTGGCTCATCGTCGTCATCGGTCGCCATGGAGCTGATGACTCGACACGACTCCCAACGCTCGGGCATCCTCAAGTCCGCCGCCGTCGTCGTCGATGACGCGTCTCCGTCCAAACAGTCCGTCGGCAGCGTCAAGAAGCGCATCAGCTTCGGTCGGGCCCGACACCAGCACCAGCAACAACAGTCCCTGCCACCCATCGCACCTTCCCCGGTGCCACCAGCACGAGCTGCTGCAGCTACTCCATCTGCAGACCCATCATCATCATCATCATCATCCACTGCAGCATGCGTAATAGAGCCCGAGCCGACGACGACGACGACGAGGGACGTACAGATTGAAATCGAGGCTTCGCCGGGGTCCTGGCCCGGAGACGACGAAGGACAGCCGGAGAGTGTCCCGATGATGCAGGCTGCTGCTGGCCCCAGCAGCAGCAGCAGCACCATCACCACCAAGGGCTCCTCTGCTGCAGACAAGGAGAAGAAGCAGGCCACTTCGCCCGAGGCGCGTTGGAAGGCCCGCGATGACGCTTGGCTTTGAACAACAAGAAGAAGAAGAAAAAGGGGAAAGTCACACTGAGTGGTGACTGTTGTCACGATTGAGTCAACTCTTTTGCTGCTGCTCAGCATCACCTTTTCCAAATACTGTGCAGGTACGCTGTACTCACTCATTCGCACGGACGGAAAAGGGAAATTCGAGGTCCAGCATCACGTCCAACACTCCAGCATCATGCAGCTGATGTGAGATGCGCGCCGTCTTCTCTTGCGCTGAAATAATAATTAGTTATTAGGGCAATAATATAGAACTCGGATACTGTACATATCATCCGGGATATAAATGTTAAACGACTGAATCCCTCATTATTTGTAGTGTATAGTCAATCAGAGAATCCAGCAATAAGCCTGATTACGGTGTGCTAACATTTATTTCTGAAACCCCGTGATGATGGACGAGTGCTTCATTATTACAATATTTTTCTTGTGTTCCTCCTCAATGAAGAATTGTAGTATTGTATACTGTGATTACCATACAACTGCTGGAGGATCCGACGAATAACCCATAAGAATTGAACACCAGCAATAAGCGCTGTTCAATAGTGAATGTGACGAATTCTTCCTTCGATGACCAGCTTTTCTCAAAGCGACATGCGTAATGTATAGAGATTCAATAATGCCCTCATATCCTCGCAATAAATCTTCAGTGTTGATCTCAACAGTGTTTTGAAAGAAGCAAACAAGTGCATGTGAGCCTACATGTTTAATTTAGCCATCATTCAAATGGATTGTGCTGTTGCACATGACATACGTTCTTGCGTCACTTGAAAATCGAGGAAATTCTACCACGAGCAAAAAGATAATCTTTTTTTTTTTATCGCGCATTGCTTGATTCAATTCGTGAGATGAGTACTTTCGTGTTCAGAGTCTTACAAAAAGTTCGTCTCGCACTTCCACGGCATCTGCATAAATACGGTAGATCTTTCGTAGACACCTCTTCATTCCCCGAAGGCAGCATTAATGTTCTATTCTTTATACGAAAAGAAGGCATCCAATCAGAGGACGTCCATTCCGTAGATTCCTGGAATCATTTCCAGAAAGACTGTGTTGCCTTAGATGAAGAAGAAGAAGAAGAAACAAATCATACTATGCGTAGTTGTTCCATCATCGATCACATTGTTTGAATGCTTCACATGTTAATGTGGCCCTGGAATAAGAACTACGACGATGTTTTTCAGGACCACCGCAGTCCAAGTTATTTCCGCCGAAACAAAGAAACGAACGCATTTCCCTTTTTTTTTCTCTCGCATCAGAAAGCATGTTTCTCATCTCCACAAATTCCAGAAAAAAAAAGATATCTGGAGGAAGAAAAAACAAGCGGAACTCACAACACGGATGCAGAATTCCTTCGATTTCTCGAGTTTGAAATGCTGTCTCTCATCAACCATCGTTCAACAGGAAAAAAAAAAAAACTATAATATTAGGAATACTTGATTAAATCAAACTTGCCCGACTTCCCAAGAGTCACATTTTCCTTTTTCTTTTTTTCCTCTCGTGTCTCGAAGAGAGGTCACTTCGTCCGGGGTTTTCGTTCGTTTTAAACTAAACGTTTGTTCGAAAAGTTAAGAACTGGATTAGGATTTTCGGTGGAAAAGACCACAAAAAAATAATAATAACGTTGCCGACTTTCAACTCGACAAAATCCTCGTCGACTGCGGGATTTCCCTCGGCAATATTTCCGTATCAATGACATCAAAGTCCCACATCTTCGCCGTCGCCGTCGTCGTCGTCATGACCCTTTTCCTGGCCCAGCCCAGACATGGCCCACCACCACCCCTGTCGCAGCCCTTTGGCCACAACACGCGGCTACTGCTGCTGTTGAAATTCTTCTCGGCAGCGCGGAGATGCAGCATGGCCAGTCGGGTCCCGAGTTGTTCAGCGATGGCGACGACGGCGTCTTCGTCTTCCTCCAGATGAAGCGAGGGCGGCGGCGAGTCGGACACGGAAACCGAGGAGGAGGAGGAGGACGTCGTCAGGAGTTCCGGGGTCACGAGGATGGAATTGTCTGCTGGAATCGGCTGCAGGACGTTGGCCAGGGCTCGTGTCGCCTCCTCGCCAACCACCACGGCCGCCGCCATCGTCAGCGCCGCCAGGAAATACGTCGTCATCGTCACAAAGAATACCTATAAGGAAAGTAATGAAAATAAATATTTTTATAATAATTTCTCAATACGTTCATTCACTGGAGCAGCCGAACAAAATATTATGCAGTGGAATCACTTCGCTCTTTGCTGACAAATTCCTTCAAATCTGTGCTAAAGAATGCACAGACCAGCGTAGGTAATAAGCAAAAGTCGAGAAAACTTGAAAATTCTTCGAGATATTCCATCGACAACAGGAGAAGCCAACATTCTCCCCCGTTTTTGCCACAAAGTCTCGGCACGAAAGCGTCCATTAATTTCAGTGTTCGTTACAATTCGATACAAGTCCTCGCAAAAATTGGGTGCTCGAATTAGAAAAATATACAGTATATTAATTGATGAAATGGCAGTGAAAAATCCTCACCGACAGAACCTGCTGCAAGACCTGGTCGTAGAATCTCGACATGAACCCAGAATTCGCACCCAGGGTCATCAAGTCCGACACAGAAAACCACCCTCTCTCAGATCCCTCGCTCAAAGCAATGGTCTTTTCCACTTTCAGTAAAACTTCCTCGAATTTTTCCTTGCTCACGAAAAGGTTCCAGTCCTGGGATAAAAGTTGTGAGAAAAAAAAAAGAGACACACTACAAATGAGACCAAATCCTTCGACAACGAAAATAAAATTCTTCTTACCAAAGCCGAGAGAAAGGAGATCTCGAGCTTATTCACTTGGTCCAATTCCAGTCTTCCCGATTTCGCCCATTCGTCGTTGTACACGCCTTCGTCATCGTGGACATCAAACAAAAACTTGGAGGCCACCATCTTTAGCAGAATAAAAAAAATAATAATAAGCAATTATCTAAGGGTTGGCAAAAAATAAAAATAAATTAACCTACACAACTACCCTCGAAATTGTTAACTCTATAATAACCCATCCGGGCACTCATTTCTCTCACTAATTTAGTCCTTTCATGCGATTCTTGATCAATCATCAATCCACTCACAGTCGTGACGAGGAACAAATGCGAAGATGGAACAGAGTACATGAATTCCGGGTTGGATTTGGCCAGTCGCTCCATGTAGATCATGGCAAGGACGACGGCACTCGGCGCGATGCACGCGTCTCTCGCAATCGACGCACACGTGTCCATGTCCAATTTTTCCAGGGAATCCTGCACTCCGCAATTGGCAAAAATGTTCACGAGAATTCCTGCAAAAAAGTTCCAGACTAAACTTGCTTCTCCCTTGCTAAAAACAAGGAAAAATACGCTCGCGCACAACAAGTTTTTTCACCGTCAGAGAATAATGCGGAAACCACATTCCCAAGCCAGGAACAGTACTGTACCTATATGTACAATACTTCGAAATTAATTTTTAGCGTCTTTCAACGATTTAATTGCTTCAATTTTGTGAACAAGTCGTTCTGGGACGCGCACAATTCTCCTAGGTATCGGGTAATCGACGTAATTCAACCACAGACACAGGTCAAAATTGCATACCGGTCATTGGCAAACTCGGTCGATCCGTCTTGGGTTGTTTTCCATAATAAAGAGACTTTCTCAGGCGTCGCTGGAGACGAGTATGATTTAAAAATACCTGGAAAAAGAAAAAAAAGAGCAGTGCAATCAACAAACGATGAAGAAGGAAATGAAAAGGCAAAATAAAAATTTTAACCCCCCCTCGGATTCCATCATCAACTCACTGATCGTTTGGAATAACTCCGTTCTTTCGGCTTCAGATCTTGTTCTTCCACGCGGTCCTCAACAAACTTGGGACTCATTCCGACGAAATCGGGAATAGCGGCGTGAATGCCCAGCATCGGGAAGCCCCCACACCTCATCGCGACCACAGCTTGGGAGATCGTTCGCACCAATTTATTCTCTTAACGATTACCTGAAAAGTACCCGCATGAGGAAAATATGACATCGTGTCAAGGGAAAAGTGACGACTGACACACGTGAAAATGGGGAAAGATAATCATCGAGAAAAACCGTTAGTCAATCACTACTCGTTCTTTCTGCATCACAGACTGCCGAAATCATTGCATATACCAAAAAACGACTTGAGAAGCATGGCAGAACAGAAAAAAACAAATAAACGTTTCCCCCCCCCCCCCCAAAAAAAAAAAAAACTGTATTTTCGCACGCTGAATTCTTTCACGTAAGAAGCTCGGTTTTCCCCGGAGGAGTGACAGAGTACAAATCTTGCAGAGTGCCCCACTGCTGTATCACTTTCGTTCGCTGCCCAATCGACCCCACCTTCTTCTCGTTCAGGTAGCACTCTATGAAAAACCGGTTCGTCTCTGAAACAGCCGGGTGCTGCATGAATTCATCAATCTGTATACAGTATATGGAGAGAACAAACATTTTTTTTTTTTAAAGAAAACAACGTCATATACAGAAGTTTGGAAATCCGAAGAAAAAAAAAACACGCGGATTTCGTTTTTAAATTTCAAATAATTTTTTCCGAGCTCTCCGTCAAAAGGACAAATTATCTGAAAATGAGCAATCCTCATCATTCAACTTAGTTCATCTAAAAGGCAAGGGAAATATTGACGCAGAACCACATGAAAATTGATCGCGTCGCAAAATGGATTCAACGAGGACACATTTTTCTCCTCCTTTACATGAAAAATTGCACAATCAAGCAGAGATGAATTTTTTTTTAACATTTTTCAAACAAACATCAATGAAGATGACAAATTGACTCAATGATGGTAAAATCCCCATTCCGTTTGCAGAATGTTACAATGATTGACAAATACTCTGACCTTCATCCATTTGCACTCTTCAATTTCCACTTCGCACTTTTGTATGATTTTGTTGAGTGGACGCAGAACACAAATGAAGTAGATGTCCGCCGTGTCAAAAGGCCCGTGCTGATAGTGTCTGAACGCTACGATCGTCTCGAACTTGGCCGTGATACCAGTTTCCTCCAAAACTTCTCTTTCCGCCGCCTCAGATAAGCTTTCGTCTGCAAACCCCACGAGTTTCACTCATTTCGATAGGAAACCGCGACAGTCGAGTACAGTACAATAAACCAGTAAATTATCGACCCACAAACAAATTTTTTTTGCCAGCCCGCATTGTAAGTTAGTCAGCCCACATTTGAGCATGCGACAAGAGTATCCGTGCAAGTGTGCAGTGAGTGAGCCACCCTTCTCAGCGAGTTCCCAACACGAAGTGGAAATGCGCACAAGCGAAGCGTGCATCAAAATTTGGAATTCATAAGACAGGACGATTGCGAAAGAATTACACGAGGTAGGAGAAATCGGTCTTTCCTTTGAGGTACTATCTAGGAATTTCACAAGGGGTTCCCATCAACTCGTGTAAATACTGCAGCAATGCTCGTGAACGAGGAAAACCAGTAAAAATCCATAGTCTGAATCAGACATGTCTCACTGCACATCATTTATTCAAACTTTATATTTCGTTCGTAATATTAATAAGTCCAGTTTCTACAAATTCTACACAAATTTTTCAAACAAGATCATGCGCGGAAAATGACAAACCGGGATCAACGTAGCCGCCAGGAAGTTTCCAGAAACGTTTCTTGAAAGACACCTTGTCTCGAACAGCTAAAATGTGACCATCTCCGTCAGTTACTATGGCCCCAACACCGATGTACGTGTGGGCGAAATTTGGAATCCCCATTCGCAATTCCAGTGGAAGCCAACGTACTAGCATAGCGTAATTTGATTTCGCGTGGTGGAAGACAAATCCATTCTACGAAACAAAAAGGATTTTTCAAAATTGAAAGGAACAACGAAGGACATTAACGTTTCATAGTACGAAAACCGCTGAATATTTATAGACTCACGTCAACTAAAACAGGTATCCACGCTGTGTGCTCCAAGAAAATTTTGAACCAGACTCCTTTGATCCCCTTTTCTATCCACTTGGCAACTGACGCTAAAAAGCAAACAAACAGTAAAACATAAATTAATCAACGAAAAGAGACGTCTTATTCCAAATTTTCACTACTCGTCATTTTCAAGCCTGTCGCCGGCACCTGATTTCATTGACAGCAACGTTTTCAAAGGAAACACTTCATTTCATAACATTGGAATTTTGTGTTCTTTTTTTTTTTTTTGTGTGTCTGAACTGGTGGAAAAAATTTTTTTTACACATCTTTCAAGTTGGTCGAAACGTGGCCTCACGCTAATATTTTTTGTCAAAAGGAAAAGGATCTCCACTCAGTGTAACTCGATCTCTCAAAATTCTAGAGAATCTCATTTTTCGCGAATCGGTACGTTTCTTCGAACAGCATCTTTTTCCAACTTCATAAATATTTCTTGAGATAGGAATGCCAACCATTAACAATATCAGGTAGTTCTTCGCACAGGATTCTCTCGTGCTCGGGACGACGTGAATTGACGATGATGCCGCCGTAAGCATCCTTTTCCTCAAAAAAGGCGTCCTTCTGGTTGCTGCAAATCGTCGCGATATCCGTGCCCGCAAGAGCAGAGTTCTCCGCGTCACACGCAGCATTTTCGTCGCCAGACGAATTCATAAAGCTTCCCACTCACAAAAACATCCCCGATTCAGCGGACACTAATTTCGAAAAAGCCGACTCCCACTCTTTGAGTTAAATTTTGCCAGGCATCGGAATTGATTTCGAATGCGTTCAAAAACGCAGATTTCTGCAATTTCACAATTTTTTTTTTCTTAATTAGGCAAAATCAAACAGATTCATCACTTGAAAAATGAAAGTAAAACATCAGCGAGAGCAAATCACAGTAATATTCCGAATAAGGCCACAGTAACCACACTGTTGCGTTATTGAAGCTACGCAAAGGCACTTGATTATGCGCTGAGATCCATTAAAAAAAATCCTTCACACTCTTAGAGAATTGATGAGCATCAGGAAAGCAGGCTTATCTGCTTCGTTCACATTCATCTCGTCCAAATCCTCCTTGTCCAACATGCCCAGAACTTGGACGTCAACCTGACGATACAAAATTTGCTTGTAACCCTCGCTTGTCATATGCAGCGAGGAAAACTAAGAAGAGCCTCACTTCCTGATCCAATAAGGTCGGGAGGTAAGATTCCAGTCCGAAAGTAGTCAACTTGGCCTTCAAGTCAGTCACGTGCTTCACCAATTCGCTCATTTGGCCGTCAAAAAAATTGTCCGCTTCACGCTTTTTGCCCTTCCGTTTCATGAACTCGTCTTCACCAGGTCTAGGAGAAAAAAAAAGAGCTCTTCAAAATACTCGTTCGTCAACGACACGAAATGTTACTTGATTACTTCAATTCTTTTTTGTCTTCGCTTCAACGCCCTTAATTTAAAACTCTGATTTTTCTCTCTTATTGGATAAGGGGTTTGTATTTGGTTACTGAAAATCAAGTTACAGTTTGTATGGTCATGGTGGAGATTCAGGTGCTACCTGCTGGACATTCTCAAAAGCAATAGTCGTAACTTCACTATATGGTACCCGAAAAGTTTCCCTTGCAAAGACGTTGGTGTCAACTGTAGAATTGCATCAGGTCTCGGATAAATTAGATTAAAATATTTTATACCGCACAAAATTGATACTGATTCCGTACTGCGCAGTCGGGTAAAATTAAATTTGGTGTTTTATTAGCCTGGTTAGTGATGCAGGCGACACCTGTTTGACCTTTCAAGAAGCAAAATCGTACAGACTATAGAGTGGAAACGAGTTTCTCAAGAGCAAACCTTAGCAGAATCATGCCCTTGAAGCTATCATCGGAGTCCTTTCGCTTTCGGTCACTCACGCACGTCTCAATGGTGATCACAGTTGGTTTCATGGGGGAAAGAAAGTCTTCTCCATCTCCACCAAAGGCAGTCGAAGGAGAAGGGACTTTTACGGTTCGTCCGAAAAAGGGTTCTTCCAAAAATGACGACGACTTCTGCCCGGGAAGCGGGCCATACTAGGAAGAAAACAACCGTGTTGCTACAAAGAAATACGATGGGAGAAACAATCGGAACACCAACTTGAGTAGGCATTGAAAATTTGCTCGGAAACGGAGAGAGAGACGAAGAGGTTGCAGCGAAGAAAGCACAGCTTTCCTTCTCCAATTCATCAGGCTTCTTCCTAATTTGAAAAAAAAAGGCTTCGAGTGAATAAAAAATACTATAAAATAAAGTGTGCATATAAAAATATAAATATTCAACTGCTGCATTTGTTTTTGCGTGAAACTCACGTCTCGTCCACAACAACTACTCTGATTGGGTCTTTGCTCCACTTGACGTTCTTGACGCGTTTCGCAATTCTAGACAACCAAGCCTTCACCCCTTCATTGGAAACCTTCCGATCTTCCCACGCCGTTTTTCGGCCACATTTCGACAACCGCTCGAGGGTTTTGGCGTCCGTCTGCTGCTGATGTGCTTTCGACAAAAGTTGCAAAAATCTCGGGTCGTCCAAGTGCTTGTCCGCGATCCAAAGCAGGTCCAACGCCGCACATCCATCGTCGGCCGTCTTCGTCACATCACATCTGCAAACAGAACAAGACAACACATAACACAAAAAAGATTAGGCAACTTCTGCGCAAGTCTAACGGATTTTGCTGTAATCCATTTTCATATGGTTCAATCAAGACAGAGGTTTTTTACTTTTTTTTTCTTCAGCCAAGCCAAAACTCACCCCACTTGTATGAGGTACTCGGCAACTTGAAAATGTCCGTGAAAAACGGCTTGCATCAACGCAGTCCACTTGAACCTGTCGTCCTGCGCATTCACGTCCGCCCCGTATTCCACCAGCATTCGGACGAGGTCCAGCCGTCCCAGAGTGGCGGCATACGACAAGGCAGTCGCCCCTTCGTCATCGCTCTTGGCATCCACGACTTCCGCGCCCAACTCTGCCAAGACCCGCTGCACCGCCAGGGCGTCCCCGAGTTTCACAGCCGTCACAATGTCATTCACTGGCCTGCGGAAAAACTGCTGCTTGGCGTTCCTGCGCCCGAGTCGCGGGAAAACGTGGCCCCAATAGGCGGCAAAGTCAGCGGCGCCGTTTCCACCCGGTGACTTTCGTCCAGGCTTGGCTCCCCAATCCACGAGAAGATCCACAACGTGTCGGACGCCTCGCGTGGCGGCCAACATGAGCACCGACGTGCACGTGAATGAATCCCAGGCATCGGCATTCACGCCGGCTTGGAGCAATATCCGACAGATGCCCGGATCTTCCGCCAGGCAACCCGCAAATAGAAACGGAACCTTTTCGCACAAATCAGACGCCAACTTGGAGTTGAGATCCACTCGCTTGGCTCCGACACTTTGCAGAAGGCATCGAAGCAAGTCCGCGTTCGAGTTGCACGCAGCAATGTCGACACTCGTCGCACCCAGAATCGACACGGCCAACGGATCCGCGCCATTTTCAAGAAGCAATTCGGCAACTGCTCTCTGGTCAGAGGCACAGGCCAAGTGCAGAGGGGTCATACCGGCAAAGTTCCGGGAATCAACGGGTATTTTGTCCACCAAAAAGCCCACGGTTTTTGTCTTCCCTTGCCATGAGGACAAATGAAGGGCGTTGTTGCCTTCGGCATCCGTGACTCTGACGAGAGACGGGTCTACACGCGGGAAACATTTTTAATCTGTATTTAGTCGACATAAAACTTAAGAGAACCAAGAACACCGGGGTTCTATAATTAAATCCAATGCAAGTGATCCAGTCAGTCTCAGAGATCGGAAACATTTTCATATCTTTTCTACACTTCACAATGTGTGAGAACGATTGAAGAGGTTAGAAAAATAACTTGACGCTTTAAACAAAAACGGTTCATCTCCATCAAGTTAGAGTGACAAAAATGTATGGGACAAATCGTCGTAAGTTGCATGTTCTGATGAACACTTGAATGAGACAATTAATTAAAAAGGCTTTTTATGCAACAGCGCGTACAAATGAAGTTGAATAAAAGCCAAAGGCACATCAATAATAAAAATAAAGTAACCCTCACCTTGCGTAATGGCACGTTCTAGGGATTCCTGATACCCATACAGGCAGGAGACTAGAAATGAGTTTGTAATACTCTGGCTGGGTTCATTCATTTTCCATGAGATCTCACAATTACTCGTTCATCGCAGCTATAGTATCACACAGATTATCACAATCACATCTGAAATTAAAGAGAACACGGTGGCATTTTCGTTCTCAATAGTCCCATTTCGACAACAATAATAACAAAAGCTCGAAGCCAATGTCGCTACGCGAGGTGTCGTGACGCAAACGTTTACCCATCAGGAATTGATCATTTGAGGTTATAGCATTTCTGGAATTTTAATAAAAGTTGAACAGCAGAAGATCGGTTAACGGTAGCTAAAACAGAGACATTATTTCGGATTAACTTCATTACTGGTTTCCGACATGTCCTTGGATTCACCAGCTTCTGCTCGTGCCGCAGGCACCTCCTCATCGGCAGCACCTTTTTCAACTTCGTCAAACGACGTTGCGCTTTTCGGGACTGTGAACCAAAATAAATTCCGGGTTTTTTTCTTTTTCTTTTCAAAAAAACTAAGTCTGAATCCCCAGAGAACACCTCTCCAAACAACACAATATTCATATTTATTTTGTAAAATGCAACTTTCAATCAAAACCGCGAATGCCCAGCGAGTGCAGGCTCAGGGTCCTCTCGGGCGGGATTCACTCCCGAATCCTCCCCTCCACTCGGGGACTCCACGACTGACTTCTCACCCAATTTCGGAGGATGTTCCAGGATCAAGTCGATGAGGCCGAAAGCCTTGGCTTCTGCCGGCGACATAAACCTGTCTCTGTCCATGCTGCGTTCTGAAAAATCAAATAATCCACGAGTCAGGCAGGGTGGGAATTTTGTTGGTCGAACCCATCGTTGCAAACAAGGTAAGAGCATTTGTTCAAATGTTTTTGCCAATCCCTCGAGATGACCCACGAGAGCTTCTGTTTTGATGTCCTCTCCAGCAGCTTCAATCGACATATTCATTTCTAAAATATTTATCTACTTCCACCCAAAATAACGTGAAAACTTATTTCTCCAACATGCCAAAACAACCAGATTTTGGGAGCAAGTTTTCCGCCTGGTTGCTGAGGATTTTCTTTCCTTGAAACTCAGATTTGGACAAATTTTAGCTCGTCAATTAATATTTCATTGGTCGACCTTCACATTCAGCATCACCAGCTCAAATAAAGCAGAAGTTACAAAAGATTTTTTCTTCTTCTTCAAGAACTAGGTTCTAGGACATGGCAACTGAAGTGCTTTTCAATTTCTTCAGCAGTTCCAGAACTCAGGTGGCAGGCCGAGCTTCATTCCCACAATAGAAAAGGGTGCACTGTCAAATTCTATCTCGTCTCTATTTGGAATTTGGAGGGCGAATAGAAGTCGCGAAAGACTAGAATATTATTGGATTGAAATTAAAATACAGTATTTCAATCTTGAAAATGTTCTGACAGCAGCAAATGAAGAACATTTGAAATGACTCATGCGTTCGTTAAACGTGCAATTTTATTCGAAGGTCTCCTCACCTATCATATCTATTTCTTGTTTGGTATGTTTGTTGTACAACTGATTCAACTGCTTCTTGATCTTGATGATTTCTTCTGCGTGAATGAGAATATCACTGGCTTGACCCTGTTTTGTAGACGAAGAAAATTAGAAGAGTCCGGTGAGTCTATCGTTCCTCAAAAATCAACACAATCAATTCATTTTGGAGACAGCTAAAAACAAAACAAAGAACGTACCCTCGCTTGTCCCGAGGGTTGGTGGATCATTATTCTGGCATTCGGCAGAGAATGCCGCATCCCTTGGGCCCCCGCAGCCAGCAGCAAAGAAGCCATGGAGCACGCTTGTCCTACGCACCAGGTGGCAATCGGAGGCAGAATGTACTGCATCGTGTCATAAATGCCTAATCCTGCCGTCACACTGCCTCCAGGACTGAAAAAAAATCGGAACATAATTTTCCTCAGTTAACTAAAAAAAAACAAAGAAGAGAAACCCCCGCTGATTCTGATGAACAATTCAAACGAACACGGTGGAATAGAAAATTAAACCACCTTTCAACAATTATCTCTCCCGCTCGGTGCTTGTAGCTCCCATGATGAAAATATGAAGATCGGATGAAAGCGCTTTAAATTAGTTTGTATGAATTCCCACTTTCACGGTCAAATCGAAGGAAAAAGGGGAAAACAGAATCGAACCCACCGAATTTCTCAAGGTCGGGTGTGAATTCCGGCAGCGATTTGATCATTTAACCAAGGAAACTTTAGATTCAAGTTTAAAACAAATTACTGACGCATTTGGCGTTCAAAATATCGTGCATCAATTTCAATAACAATGAAGAACCCTGTATGGGATTAGCAGGGAACCAGCAGGCTTGTTTTTGAATTCAGTACATACATGAATAGTTTGCCAAAATGTGTTCAAATGTTGTACAGTGATTTAAATTTCCGCCTCTCTGACAGTGATTTTAAAAAAAACGGCACACGATGAATGAACGTTGGCTCCAAAGTTGTATCTCACTAGTGTGACGGCACTAGTTCAAGATGCATCACTGCTCGAAAAATGCTCATTTTAATTTTTGTTCCACCTTGTACACACAGCAGTGGGAAACGCACCTGTTGATGTACATATGGATCGGCTTCTTATTACTTTCACTTTGCAGGAATAATAACTGCGCCACGACGAGACTCGACATTTCGTCAGACACCTGTGGAAAAAAAAAAACAGGAGCTGATAAATGCGATCAATCGATGCGGATTGATTCGGAAGGCTTCACTCACAGGTCCCATGACGCAAATGATCCTCTCCTTCAGCAATCTGGAGTATATATCATACGCACGCTCCCCGCGTCCGGTTTGCTCAATCACAATCGGTACAAGAGGGTAAGTCGCACAAGCGGATGTTTGAAACTTCCTCAAAGAAGATCTTATGGCATACGAAGAATTGCCCAGCAAAGCTTTGGCACAACGAGATGCCATCTCCAAAATGACGAAGATTTGGAAAAAAAACGAGACAAGGAGAAAAGCTCTGTGAAGAAGTTTCCGTAATTAACGACACGGAAAACGTTGACCAGAAAAACTCATACGGTACATCGATAATATTTTCATCAAAGACGTAAAAAAAATTAATTCAAAATTTCACCGACTCGAAAAGTTGTCTTTCCTTGTCTGTCTTTTGCAATCATTTCAACAGAGAGAAACACCGGCACTTCCATCGGAGGTTTTCCTTTGAATTCAAAAATAAATTAAGCTGCAGCAAGAAACCCCCCCCCCTTTCTCGTACATCGACAATTCGAAAAGTTTTCAAAAAGTAATCCCGCGTTTTCCGAAAAATGTTTCCTTTACGCTCCCATCGAAACTCGATCAGAAAACCGAATGGCGAGACGTGAAGCACCAGAAGTGTCGTCTTGCTCAGGTTCCGGAACGGAGGTTTGCGAACGCGTCAAGGACCTCACTTCAAATTTGTCCCATAGGCGTCAGTGGTTCTGCAACTTTAAACTCGCAGCCAGTGGATGACACGATATCTTCAATAGTCACGCCTTCAGCAATCTCCGACAAAATTAGCCCTTCTTCCTTGTTGATGTTGAAAACGCACTGGAAAAAAACAATGCATAAAATGACAATAACCGCATGATTTGCGTAGTCAAAACACCACGACCACGAGCCATTCTACCCAGTCCAAATTGAATGAAATGAGGTCCACACCTTTTCAGTGATGATCATGTCCACGCATCTTTGGCCAGTGAGTGGAAGCGTACAAGCAGGCAAAATTTTGTGCTCTCCACCCTTCGCAGCATGCTCCATGGCTATGACCACCTTCGTTCCCGGGGCGGCCACCAAGTCCATCGCACCACCCATTCCTTTCACCAGTTTGCCCTGAGACAACATCGCTGGGATTGAGGGAAGAATGCATCACGAGATTCACGCAAGCTTGAATCACTCACGGGAATCATCCAGTTGGCCAGGTCGCCATATTGGGACACTTGCATCGCACCAAGAATCGTCAAGTCAATGTGACCTCTGAAAATCAAGTAAATACATAAAGTGGCCGAGGATATGAAAAGACGATGAGAGAAAAAACGAAAACTAACCCACGAATCATGGCGAAGGATTCGTCAGAGCCAAAGTACGAGGCACCAGGCACGATGGTCACAGTTTCCTTGCCAGCGTTGATCAGGTCGGGGTCCACTTCATCCTCAGTGGGGAACGGTCCCAGGCCCAGGACTCCATTCTCACTCTGCAAATGCACCGTCATGTTCTTCGGGATGAAGTTGGACGCAAGCATTGGCATGCCGATACCCAGATTGGCATACATGCCATCCTTGAATTCCAGGGCGGCTCTGCGAATGATGCGCTCCCTCATCTGAGCAGCTGGCGTGGCTTTGGCCAAGGACAGGCCGCCACTTTCCTTCCTAATGGTTTTGCGCTTCAAAAAATAAAATGGATACGTCAGTACAGTTCTCACCGAAGAAAAAAAAAACGAGATAATTTCCAAAATTATCCGAATGTTGATCGTACAATACATAGAAAATCTCGTTATACGTAAGACTGAAATTTCCTCTGTCTGTCTGTCTGTCTGTCTATTCTGACAAACAATTGTTTTAGTGATGGAGGATGTCACCAGTGATCACAACAGCAGTTGATTTTAACACACAGTCATCGCAATAACTTTATGCTGCTACGGCGTGTAAAATGCTGATTAACTTCAGGCAAAATTTCCTCAAAAAGGTCCAATTTCGTTTTGATCCTCAAGTAGCAATCCAGCATTTCCATGCATTCCAATCAAATTTCGATGTGCAAAAAAGTGCAATTTTCATAACTACAATATGTACAGCGTTAACCTTTTGAACCTTGGATATACAGTACTGTATATTGATGCGGTGGTGACAGAAACCTCACCTCTATCCTCTTCTCATAATTAGCACCCTTGATAATTCGCTGCACGTAAACGCTTGGAATGTGCACGAATTCCGGGTCCAGCTCTCCAACTTCCACGATTTCTTCCACCTCTGCTATAGTAATCTTTGCTGCTCTGCACATGGGCGCATTGAAATTCCTCGCGGTCTTTCTGAAAATGAGATTCCCAGCCTTGTCTGCCTTGTAGGCCTTGACAAGTGCAAAGTCTCCTGCGATTCCAAAAAATAAAAAATTAGAATCTGGAAGAAAAGTCTCACCAACAAACATACCCGTAATGCCCGTTTCCATGACATAATTACGTCCATTAAATTGCCTGTCTTCGCGACTCTCACTAGAAATTTCCACGGCAGCACCACCAGCCGCGTACTTGATCGGTGCTCCACCTTCGTGCACCAAAGTGCCGTAGGCTGTGGGAGTGAAGAAAGCCGGAATACCTGCACCACCTGCCCTGATTCTCTCAGCCAAGGTTCCCTGATAAACATTGCATGGAGATCAAGCGAAATCAAGTGCATCCTCACCAATTGATATTATCTTCAACCATTCTAATTCCTAAAATTACAAAAAACATTCTTTTACATTTCAAGGAGGCTTTTCGTACTTGTTTTTCCTTCATCTAGTTCTGTTGAAGATGTGCACAAGAGGGCAGAAAATGTCAGTTACCAGTGAGTATTCTGCAGAAGTACTGTCTTCTGCTTACAAGCATGACTGGAAGATGAACACCTCTAAATTTCGCGGAAAGACTCGAAAAGTTCATGAACAACTGAAAATTAATTTTCAATCTTAACACACTCAGTCAATGCACCGAATAGAGCAATGCTTTGTAGTCATCACGCAACAAAAATTACTTGCATGAAACTGCGCAGTTCATCTGAAATCAATTCAAAATGCAAAGATTGGTTAAATTAAGAGCCAACATTCGGGTTTTCAAGAAGAACTCACTTCTTGAACCCTACCTCAGACAATTACTCAATCAGGTTTTGCATCCATAGTAAAATGGATAAATAAAAGCCTTGGCTCACCTGTGGAGTGAGTTCGACTTCCAGCTCACCACTCAAATACTGCCGCTCAAATTCAGCATTCTCACCGACGTAAGAAGCGATCATCCTCTTGATCTGCTTTTGCTTGAGCAACAAACCCAAACCGAAGTTGTCCACACCGGCATTGTTGCTCACAGCCACCAAGTCCTTCACCTTAGTCTGCAACAGTGCTCCAATCAGATTCTCCGGGATTCCACATAATCCAAACCCTGAGCAAAAAAAAACAAAACATCATTATTTACAGAAAACGGCTGGCTACATTCACACGTAGACGAAGGTGAAATTGACCTCCGACCAAAATTTTGGAACCATCACGGATGTCCTGGACTGCTTTTACAGGATCGTCGAAAATTTGGGCGCACTGACGATTGCTGGTGCTGAAATGACAGCTGCCGGACACCAATATTCGCGAGAGCCACGAGTCAGTCCTGAGGCTTTTTCCTGCCCGAAAGAAGCGACTCAGCCCCACGGTACTCATCTGAAAATCAAGTAACAAGAACGATTTCCTTAAAAAAGTAAAATTGACACTTCGGAACACCAAACGGGGGAAAAACTTCTACAGGAGACGCCATTCGACCGAACGGGTGAACATTCGGTTTTCAAATATAATTTCGATTAGTTTCGACTCAGTCACAAGAAAAATTTAGAATCAAATACTTGAACAGTCGTTAAGTGGCTTCGTAATTCCCGATGCCCATCATGCTTTCAACATTCAAGGAATGAATCATTTCAGACTGTATTGCTTCAATTACTCATAATCGGTGGTTTTTGTTCGAAAAAAATCAACAATAGGTCACTATGAATTGACCAAAATACGTTACAACTTCAGCCTTCAGTGAGAACGTGCGAGGAATTTTTGAGAATAAATGCCCCGTAATTAGCATGAAGATGATGAGTTCAGTCAATTCGGGGAAAATGGCGACTCCTCGTACGACAGTAAACAATTTACAGTTGGTCCCTTTCAAAGCCGGACACATTTTTTTTTCCATTCCATCGTCCTCGTCAATCGTCAACAAAGTCATGCTCCCTGGCTCCACGATGGTGAAAATAAAATCCTGCACAGGAATGGAACGAATTCTTCGCGACAGCCCACGTCTTCTTCTTCATCATCATCATCCTACTCCTCCCATAAAAATAAACGTTCCGCTCTCTTCGTTCTTCCCCGGCCGAAAAAAAAATAAAACGAAACAGCACGCTTGTGTTAACTGTCAGCCTTCGTAAAACCGCTTGATTGTGTACATATGCTGGAATATTAACTAACATATACCTGGATCATCTTCATCATTCCCCGAGTAAGAATAAAACACGACCACACACACACACCCGTTGAAACGCGCACCTTCCGACTCATAAATATATCCTTCCATTCCCTTCCTTTTTTTTCCTAGGCTTTCCTTTCCTTCTGCATACATTCCCGGTTCCGTCTCGTGGTAACCGCTGGATGTCGAATTGCGCTTTCTTCTTTCTCTTCTTCTTCGTCTGTTCCCCTCAAAACTTAACACGACGGGCTTCTCAAGAGCATTGCGAACCTCTAGAAGTCGTAAGAAAGCCTTCAAGGCACTTTAGCACGGATACGTAGCTCCAGTAATGTTTCACTTCATACTTCATTCAGAAGCTTTCATTCCAAATACTCACTCCGAAACATGCACCAAAATTACAATCCATCCGAATCTTTCAATGGGGTGAAAAGAAAGACTTCTGCAAAAGCAGTTCATCGATTTAACGTACTACTACTGCTAGTGCTTCCGTTGAATAAAAACGCCTCACTGGTTTCCGAAGCTTCAAAATTTCTGCAAGAAGCCAAAACAGTTGAAAATTTAAAAAACTTTTTCTTTTTTTTTTGGCAAGGCAAGCGCTGACGTATACCTTCTCACTGAGCATATGGAACCGAACTAAAAACGGGCACCAAAGTTCAGACTCAGTACCAGAGCAACGCGCTATTCTTACGTTCAAGATCAAGAAATAAGATTCCAAAAACTGCTGAGAAGCCCCCGTAGATCCCAAATCTGCACCACAAAGTAAATAATCACTCGCCCGACAATACGAAACCCCGACACCGGAAAAAAATAGGACACTCACGAATCGAAAAAGGCAAACCTCACAGTCGACAGGTCTCTGTCCGACGAGCCAAAATTCTACAAACTTCTTCCAGCCACATCCTTTAGCAAAATTCAAAGACAATCCATATAATTATCCTCTAAACGTTGCAAAGAGAGTTGGAACTTTTTTCTTTTCTTTTCAAACCTTGATACTGAAACTTTCAAAAATCTGTCGGCGAAGATTCTCACCACACCAAAAAAGAAGGGGGGGGGGGGGGGTTAAAAGAGGTACTATGTAACCGACGAACAAACGGCTCGTGGCAATAGAAGAAAAATAATCGATCGAGCAAAGAAGTGGGGAAAACACCAACAACAACGACAAAAAAAGAAACGAAAAGAAAGGGAAAAATGCTGATCCCAGCGTAGGGCTCAATAAAGGAGATTATTTCCCCCTCTTCTCCGCTATTGGCACACAACACGAGGGGAGGGAAGACCAAAACGTCGTCGAGGTCGAGCGCCCCACACTCCCGTCATCATACTTCCCGCGTTAAGAAGACGAAGACGACACCGACAGGTTCTCCAGCAACGCCTGCAGGCCCTCGTGAGATTCCGTCGCCGCGTTGTCCTCCACGCCGCCACTGACGCCGCTTCCGACCACGCCGTCTTCTGCTGGCTTCGATCCCGGCAGCGGGAACTTGAGCGTACTGAATTGCAAACATACAATCACTGCATTATACAGCACTGAAATCGTACCTAAGCACGTAATTTTAATTCATGCTCGGCACAACGACAAAAATGCATGCAGTGTAACGGTTTAAAAAATTTCGAAAATTTATCGTTTTGGTCTGTTTCCCGCCTCTCCGGTGATTTTCCCTAGTCAACGAATGCTGTAGTCATTTGAACACCAAAAATATCATTCGAAAATTTTGTAAACAAATGGTCCCAAAATCGGCGATTTTGTTCCGTGCTACACAGGTGTAGCTTGCATTTCCTTTGGTTTTACATCAACTTGAACTAGGTTATCTTTTCCATTTAGCTAGCTTTGAAAAACTTAGCGATGAAGTGATCTTCAAAAACAAATGTGAAAAAATTACATTTTTAAAATCCCCAGATTACCCAATGAGAAAAAAATAAACCCTCAGAAATATCACCTGTTCGAGTTGTGGCTGAGTTCGGGGAATAAGCTGCGGCGGATGACCGCCGAAGCCGCCGACGTTGACGACGGAGGAGGGGGAGGAGGATAAAGCGGCGGCTGGTAAAGCATCGACGGATACTGAAACGGGGGCGGACAATACTGAAACGCCGACGGGACGAACGCCGCTGGGCTCTGGCTAGGACTCGGACACTCCGCGACACTCATTTGATGGTGGAGGTGGTGGTGATGAAGGTGCGCACGGTTCGGGTTGTTGTTGTTGGGGCTGTTGTGGTGGTGGTGAAGAAGCTGCTGATGATGATGAAGATGCTGCTGGTGCTGTTGTTGTTGTTGTTGCCCTTGTTGGTTGGTGGCATCGTCGTCGAGGATCTTCGACACGGATATCACCGGGATCTCCTTGCGTCGCTCCTCCCCACCGCCCCGAGGACAGTTGTTGTTGGAATCCGCCTTCTGCTGAGCTCGCCTTCGATCTCGGATCTTCGCGGTCAGGCTCTTGTTGCCCGTCGGCTTCACAGTTTCCTCGACCCCGTCAGCATTCAATGCAGACGTCAGCCCGGCTGCTGCTCCCGCCTCCTCGTGAGACGACGGGAACAGGTACCCAGGGCTGCCGTCAGGACACCAACCCGATGAAAACAATTCTGCTGCTGCCGTCGTCGTCGTCGTCGCTTCTGCCGCAGCTGCGCCGCCCGGCATTTGATGTTGGTGGTGGTGGTGTTGGTGCTGCTGCTGCTGATGATGATGATCACTCGCAGAATCTCCGCCACGGGCCGACGACGAGAATTCCGCCACAGTTCCGAAGGGCAGGTCCCCGGCGTTGCCGAAAGACGCGGTGGAACACGTGGAGGAGGCGCAGGAACCGGCAGAAGACCAGCTCGAAACATCGGACGGTTGAAGCGCGTCCCCCAGCAAAGGCGCTTGCTGCTGATAGGCCAGCATCTACAAAGCATTTCAAAATTGTCATTGAAAACAGCCAACGATTTTAAACGGCTACAGAAAATAATCCATCCTTTCATCTTGCACGTTTGAAAAGCGTACGTCTGACGGTTTCTAAGGGAAGCGTGTAAAAAAATGTTTGCAATGGATAAGTACACATTTTTCCTACGTTCAAAAATAATCTCGAATGCAACACGAACACACGAGTACATTCACATTTTTGGTAAATACAAAAGCTGGGACGATTTCTGCCAAAGTTTCAAGACATTTGCATAGATACTACTGTACATGACTACGATTATTGCCATGGGAAACATGCCATAATGCAGTTCGGAGAGAGCAGGACCTCGATGGAATGTGGGGTGATTTGAAATAAAATTTATACTTTACAGCGATAAATATCGGCGAAATGCGCTTCCAAAATATGGAAAAAAAGTAGGAAAATTTACAGCTCGAAGCAGATTTTGACACGTTACACCATAGTGCAGTGCAGTGACCATTCAGAAACCTCAATCTTACAGAAAAAAAGAAAGGTACTGTATATCTATTGATTTTTTTCATTTTCATTTTCAATGTTCCCACCTGCGGATACGGCGGGCCGACAGCAGGATGCGGTAACCCGTGCTGGGTCTGGTAGGTGGCCCAGGGCTGCTGGTATGCCGGGTCAGCCCCAGGCGGCCACGTCAGCGGACCAGGCCCATAACCTCCATTCCCAGGGTCCATGAGCGGGTACGGCTGCAGATAGTAATTGTACATGGAAAATTCGTTGACAGCCTGCATCGGTGGCATGAGGGCCACATCGGGGATCACAGAGCCACCGCGGTTCGGCAGCCGGGACTGGTCTTCGCTGAAGAACGGCATCTTCCTCACAGCTTCTCCGATGTTGAGCTTTCGATCCTTGAAAGGCAAGCTTCCACCCTTTAAAAAAAAAACACTCCGATCATTTGACGATACGCATGACGGGGCAAGTCCATGGCTTCGGTATTCGACATATAACGAAAGAATTAATGTTTTCAACAAGAAATGTTTTCGCTTTTCAACCGCACTGTATTGAAATTTGAAACTTTACCATACACTTGTCACGGCACAGTTCATGTCGTTTCATTTTGTACGTCACCCTTCAATACTGTGACGCAAAACAAGCAGACGAACAAACCTCAAGCTCAACTGCTTTCAACACCAAGTTGGCCTCCTCCTCAGTTTCAAAGGTAACAAAACCGTATCCTTTCGGCACTCCTGACTTATCCATGATCAGCTTCACAGCTCGAACATTGCCGTACTTGGAGAAACACGAGTGCACATCCGCCTCTGTGGTCATTGGTGGAATGCCTCCAATGAAGACTCTGTTCGGTATCCTCGTCCCGAACTTCATTGGCGGTGGTGTGGAAATGCCTCCGCTATTCGGGAACTTTCGGAATGAAATATCTGCCTGAACTCCAAATGTCGGCTGCTATAAAGGGAACAAAAAACAATGTAAATCAGGCATCAATCACCACGAGTGCTGATTCATTAGTTTGGATTTCCAAGATCAACGAAGAGATAGATCAGGATTTTATCACGAATATTCGGTAATTTCTGTCATTCAAGCATTATTCCACATAGTATGTCGAGAAAACAACCCAAGGAAGAAGTTGAGCAATGGAGACTTGCAACGAGAAGCTTTCAACTTAATCCAATCAAGTTTTACGTTTAACTCTTCGGAAGTTACCAAAATAAAACCCGAACAACTACAGCTGGACATTCAATAGGTGGGAACATGTGCAATACAGTATAACGTTTTCACTTCGACTCACCATTTTCTTCGACGCAAAATATAGCGGGAGAAAATACTTCAGTCACCCTTACAAACAGCAACGAGCAGAAGATCAAGCGCCAGAAAAAAGGTGGGCCCGCTTCTCGCAGGCTCGAACCAGCAGATTCCACCAGACGAACGCCTCAAGGAATGACTCCCGGGAACCCCCAACAAAAATATCGTATATATTTTTCCGTTAGAATATCACATCAAAATTCATCACGAGCTGATCAGGTCAAAAAGGGGGAACAGAAAATAGAATCTGAAACAAAGCCACGAGAAAAAACACTGTCAGAACCGAACGCTTCTAGCAAATCGAACTTCACACTCGCCACTCGTTCACTGCACCGAACAAAATATTCTGGGGAAAAAGAGAGCAGAGAAAAAAACTTGATCAGCAAACTTCCTTCAAGAAATACGTGACAAAGAAGAAGAAAAAAGACCAGAACATAGAACAGCAGATTTCAGCCGGAAGGTCTCGTCGAAAAAATCGTGTCTCCCCAACGGCTACGAAACAAAGTCCCCGAAAAGGAAAAGCTTGAGGTATCTTCGGTCCTTTGGACTTGTTTCGCTTCACAGGTTGGAACATCTGGCTGTACATCATCAAAAGCCGCTTTCTTAGAAATTCACAAACAACACAGAGAAACGCACGAAAACAATCCATTTCTTGGAGCAATTTCCATTTTGTTTTCGCACGTCGCACGAGAGCCCAGGCCAAAATCCCATCTTGTTTTGTTTTTGGGATCGGTAAAAAGAGATTCACGCGTCTCCGGCCGACGCGTCGCCGTCGCGCTTTTGTATCGACGGAACTTTGAGATTGCCGAAGTACTCCTGGGCGTCCGTGGCGGCCTGCAGCCCGATGTTGAACAGTGGGTGCACCGTGGCCAGCTCGTTCGTGGCTTCCCCGACGATGCAACTCCGCGAGGCGTCCTTCCATTTGAAGTGCTGTGCGACGGACAGGCCGGACAACGCGTAGCAAGTGTGGTAGAAATCCGCAGGTTTCCCTGGCTTGTCTACGAAACCACCTGTAAAATAGCACACAAAAAACTGATTGTTCAACGAAACGGTTTTTACTTGGAAGTAGACGCTGTAATTTCATGAACGACGAATTTCGCTAAACTTGACTCTTCTAACTTGAAAATAAATTTTCAAATTCCCAGACACCAACAATTGTCGAGATGTCTTTGATTAAATATCCACACCGAAGTTCGCAAAAGCTTTGATCCAGATATCGTGCATTACTGTGCAGTAATTGGAAAGCATCAATACGTGAAGTGACAACCTTTTGGAGACTGGGCGCAATGAAGAAGGTATTCTTGAAGGGCTTCCTGATGGAAAAGCCATCGGGAGGAGTTGAGAGCATGAATGTGTTCTTCCGTTTCTTCCTGCGTGACGAAGAACTCGAGCAGCGGGAACAAGGCGCCGACCCAGAACGAGTAACACGAGTCCACGAGTTTGTTCGTACGCCCTTGGAAGCCGCCTTCTAGTCGCATTTGTCTATTGGCCGCCCACTTGACCAGACCCTGTTCCACACACCAATTGGGGAAACTGATCACGAGTGTGAGACGCGCCGACAGAAAAATAAATAAAGTACAGTACTTTACTATATAATGTAGCCTTGACTGAAAGGAAAACGCAACCGAAAACAAAATTCAATAAAGCACTATTGACCACAGGACACACAAACCTTTGCCATTTTCTGTCTCCTACACACATAGGTAGTTTTAGACCTCCAAAAATGTCTCCCAACCATTTTTTTTTTTCACCAAATAACAGCGAAACTAATTACGTCACAAAATCTCTCCGTTTTTTTTTTCTGTAAACCTCTCGATCAAGAGACAAACCCTAACCTGAATGTCGCACAAATGCGTAGTGTCCAAAAGAATCAACGCAGCCGCGCCGCAGTATGTGTAGCCGCCGTGGGCCTCACAGCCCGGGATGCCCGCGAAGCCGCCCTCGTACGTCTGACAACTGGCGACCCAGGCAGCCGTTCCTTCGCAGATCTCCGGACAGAGAATGTTGAGGAGACGGGCGACGGCGAGGGCTACGTAGGCGCCACGAATGTCCACCTCACCATCCGTGTGCGAGGCGAAGCTGCCATTGGGCTGCAACATTCGTGCCAGAAACCATTGCAACGCCGGCCGGTCGATGCTGTCGTACGCTTCTTTTGTCCCGATGATGCACAACGCGTTGACGGCGGCGTATGTCACTGCTAGGTGGGAAATCTGGCCTGGCCCACCGCCATAACCGCCGCTGGGGTTCTGACACTTCCGCAAAAAGTCCACTACCTGTTCGAGATCACCAGCTGTTCATTAATTCCATTTCCATGCAAGGTGGTGCTCATAAGAATCCGATAGAAGCGAGCATTTTTTGAAGATGACATTACTGTTCTCCACATTGGTACATCAAGAATTAACGCAGTTGGTGTTCAACACTAATATCCATAGTTACAACTAATAAAATTACAAGACGTTTTTCCGTACAGTACATATACAACAAACCTTTTCTCATATTCTTGCAGAAAGCCCAGATAGAGGACATGAAGTTCCACACATCATCCTCCCAGAATGAAGAGATTGGTTCTACTGATAGAATACTGTATTTGATTGGAGCTCATTTATTTTTCTTCAGAGGATCACTCAATTTTTCCAACAAAAAAAGAAATACTAAAATGCCAGAAAAGCAAGATCTGATTGATCATAGGTAGGTCTGATGTGAACATTTTTTCCAGTCATTCATTTCAAAAAAATCATTATAACAAATTATTCAGCACAAAAAACTTTTTCTGAATTCCCGAAAAGTTCGTAGTAACGCGATTTTACTTTACTGTATTAATATTCTCAGTTTATCACACTGTCAACCTCATCTACCCGTTCTAAAAGTCACCAAGACATTTTCAATTTGACAATCCATGCAGAACTCCATCCCTTCTCCCAGAGGGTCACCAATTGATCATGACGCAAAATGTATTGAAATGTATTACATTTGTAGACGCTACACCAGCAATAGGAAAATGCAGTGCACTTACTTCATGCTTCGTCTGGTCAGAGATGGGCTCTTCGAGGAGTTCCAGCGAATGGAGGATCCAGTAGACGAGCCAGGGCCGACTCGAGTCCAGATGCTGGTAGCTAGTGGACAGCCGACTGAGCCCGTGACGCAAGTACTGGGCGTGTGCTTGTCGGATGAGCACAGGGCGCGACAACAGGGCCTCGTCGGCCATCGACGCGCTGTAGCACCGGGCCACGTCGGATTCCACTCGACCCTGATCCATCGTCGTCTGCGTCGGATTGTCGTTGTCCTTGTGCCGCTCCTCCACCATTGTTGCTGCAAAGTTTCGAGTTTTGTCCGCCATCCTTCTTGCTCCCACTTGAACTCACTAAAGGGGGAGGGAAAAAAAGAAAATTCAACACAGTAATGTACTTGAATAGCTTTTCATTTCCATCACTCCACTCAATGTCGGGCTTATTCTTGGGATAAGGTTCAATCCTTAAGAAAATCATCAAAATATTCCGGGGTGTGTTCTGTGCAAAGGGCTTTATAGGAAAACACAATAGAAAGACGATATTCGTTGGATACGAAAATTTATAGGTATTCAGAGACTGAAATAACTATCGTCTAAAGATATTAAAACTCGGAGACTGACCTTGATTCAATGCTCTCGGGCAGGCTTCGAAACTCTTGAACACAACCGTAAAAAATTTCTTAAAAGCTCTGTGACGAAAAAACAATGTTGAGATATCGAATTCACTTCTCAAAATGGAAACATTAGTCATGCAATAAGAATAGAGCTCATCACTTCTCCGTCACTTTTCTGCGAAACCACTTCAAAAAACTGATGTAAAAAATATTCACGAACGCGGAACCAGGACCTTCCACGCCCACACAGTGGCAACAGAAAAGCACAGAATATTCACTTCATAATTTTTCAACAGTCCTTCCACGAAGCTATGCACGGACAGAATAATCCCTGCGAAAATATAATCAGCTTTCGATCAAAATTCTGCTCGCAAATGCCTAGAAAACGACTCTGGAAAAAAATCGCAGAAAGCCACATATTCTTTTCATAACTTTCCTCAAACAAAAATGCTGCAACCGTCCTAGGGTAACAAACATGACCAAAGTGGATCAAACGACTTTTTTGTCAATAGGAAAATTCAAAATTTTCAAAGCCATAGCCCAAGTGATGTAAATTATTTTGTCAGAATGTTATCTTCTTCTTCGCTCTGGAGGAGCTGAAAACATTGGCGGAGGTCCATCAAACCTCTGAGAAACATGAGGTGCAGTTGACGAATTCCACGTTGAGGGATACGAACCTACTGGCTGGAGACCTGAGGCAATTCCAATACCTATATCAGTAAACAACAAAAACGGATCCTTGGTTATTGAATACAAATTTACCATCACATCAGTAGACGAAGAGATGGTAAAATAGAGGGCGTCTCAAGCATAACATTATGAAAGCCAAGCGCATAACCTATCAGTCGTCATTTCATGATTGAAGAAAAAAAACATACGGTAGAAGATCTCAGTTTAAAGTATAAAATGCTTAGAATACTGCCAGTGACGACATCGACCAAAACCGAATTCGGATTTTCATTTGGAATGGTGGAAAAAGAGAGAAAAATCATCACAATATACCCAAATTAACTTTCTCGACACCAAGTAAAAACTCGCTCTGTTGGTTAGCCAATCTTAAACTTTACATATAATTAGAAGAAAAAGACGGAATGCTCACCAGTGGGCTCCACAAAGCTTGACATCAAGGGTGGAACCTCTCTTCGACGCTTCACGGCCACTGCAGGCACTTCCTCCTGCACCGCATACATGATCTTGAGTGTGAGCAAAAGAGACCTGGATCTCAACCCGGGTTCAGCAGGAAACTAAAACAGAAACACGATTGCTCTTGTCACCCGCTTGAAAAATGTCGACACTACAACAAGCAGCGTTCCGAAATGAATCACCTGATGCAGCCAGTCCTTCTGCACAGCTCCTTCCATGACCAGCAAACTCCCCGGACGCATCCACAGCCGCTTCGACGTCCCATTCCCCAATTTCGGCAAAAATTCCAGTGTTCTCCCAGCACCTGAAAAATTTTTTCAAGGAAATTTGACAGAATTAAGCCACATTTTTGCGTCACCATAAAATACTGCATGCTGAATCTTTCTTCTCCATGCGTACCAAGGCAAACCACAGCGACACCGAGGGCTTTCCCAACTTCTGCCTGGTCCTCACTCCGCGGTGGCACCCAGTCCATTCCGTCACGACACAAAAGCGCCAAGCATGAGTTGAAATCCATGCCAACCAAAGCAATGGCTCTGTGCAGCACATCCAACAATTCCTCTGGCCACTTGTCGTTCTTCTCCTCGAGCAACTTCAGCTCTTCATTGGTGTAATCGCACTGGCCATGCCAGCTGGTGTGCAACGAAGGGCCCGTTCTGGACTGCTTCAGCTTCCACGGCACCGCTTTGTCCAGCACCGAGCACATTCTCTGCAAATTTACATTCCGTACATTAGTTGACACTATTCTACTTCCAAAAAATAGATAATCATCCTATACATCGCATTTTTTTAGCTTTTCAAGAATCATTCAAAAATTAGAAGATCTCACCTCATTTCTCCGGTTGCTCAGGAACTCAGGCCAATAACGCAAAACGCACTTCCCCAGGACTCCATCACTGATTACGAAATCGCCTCCGTCGTTGACAAACCATTCAGGGATACACAGGGTCTTCGGCTCAGAATGAGTAGGTGATACAGGCTCCAACGGGGTTACATCCAGTATCAAAGGAGTTTTGATTGATAATAATGACGGGATTTTTGTTTCCATGGGCAGAGTCCGCTTGCCATTGCTTGCAACCTGAAACATATCCAAAAAATTTTTTACAGTTTTTGGAAAAAGTTCACTCCAGAAAAAATAAAACTTGGCAAATCCTCTGGCAATCAAACCAATTCCTAAAATCACTCACAAAAGTATTCAATAAAATAATGTACTACAGAAATGTACTGTATAAGCTTTGTTGAAAAGCTTGTATTTTTAAATGCATTCATTTTTAAATACTGTAATACTGTACCATCAATTTACAAAGGCATTTGTATGCGTTGAAATCCCTCTTGAGTCAACCGATTACAATGGAAAAGCCCTGAACACTGAGTTCATTGAACTCCGTGGGTAATTTCATGAAACAGTGAGATACAATTTGAAAAATCACTCAATTTAAAACAGATATTTCTCTTAAAAAAACCGCTTGACGTGCAAAATTATTTCAAGGCATTTGAACAAGCTTTTCAAGTTTCAACACAAAAATGTTTTTCAAATTATCCAGGAAACTTCATACATACCAAACTCTTCTGAACGAGTGGCTTCGACGAAGATCTTTCATTGTTCGTAGAAATTTCTTGAATTGTATGGTCAGATTCATCCCCCGTTTGAGTCGCTTGCACTTTAAATCTTGTATCATTCAATTCTTCATTGTACTTCTTCTTCAAGTCCTCAATGGCATCCATGGCTTTTCGATGTCTATGTTACCAAAAATTTACTTGAGAACATTCACCAATTTAAAAAATCTGCAGTCACTTACTCAGCAAGATTGCCGAATTCCCGCAAAAATAAGGCTTTCCTCTGAGCAAATTTAACTTTATGTGCGTCATCCAACTCTTTGGACAACACGGCCAAGTCTGAAGCAGCACAAAAGCCCTTGATATCAACCGGATGCCTCTGATAACAAATGTCCTGCACCATATTGTATAGCCTAACATTTCCCTTGTCATTCTTCAGAGCTTTCCGCAAAACCACCAGAGCCTTTTCCGGTAAGCCCAAAATCTGCGATATAACAAGCATGTTTTAAAATTCCCAGCCCATGTTTCCACACGAAACCAAAAATAGTAATAACCTTGAATATGAAGCGAGAGTGCTGGATGGCAAAAAAAGACGCAACAGACTTAGAGTGTGCTTCCTCGGTGAACTTCTCCAATAGCATTTGCACCTTGTCGAAATCTCCACGTCTTCTCTCCAATTCTACCAGCCGAATTTTGGCACTCACAAGCTCTGGATAAGTCGTAATCACCTCTTGAATCAGTCCCTCCGCTGACACTGAGTCTCCATTTTCTTCCTCAAACGCCGCCCATTGAAGTTTTACCTGATGGATCCCAGGATTCATGGTTTAGGCAAACATTTTATCCTCCGTGAATGTATGTCAGTCAACTTCAACACGATCACTTAATGATACAGAAAAATTAGCCAATCAACGATATGAATTCTATGCCCCACTTTCATTTATGTACGTAAAAAAAAAAAATTTCATGAAAGTTCGATAACTTCAGAAGATTACAATCTAAATTACTCACTGCGTGCAGTTTTCATTCCTAATAAGTGCTATAGATGTTAAAAAATGTTGAAAAAATCTTCTGACTATTCAATTTGCATCTACAGTTTGGAAACTTCTCATAACACAACGAAAAACACTGTTAAGCTTGAAAACCAAGTTTTAAAAATTCGTAATGAAATTATCTTGGTGACTTCCAAACCTTATACGCCCTCGGGGAATTTCAATTCCTTTTCCGTTCCACAATGCAAAATTCAACTCACATCAGGCCATTTTGGACAATGCACAACACATGCACGCCGATAAATTTGTCGAACAGCATCAAGCTGGTCCCTGGTTTTGGTCAGCCCCGCTACAACTCCCAGTTTACCAGGTACAGGTAAATCAGATTCGAGTCCAACGATATTTTCCTTTGACTCAAATTTCGGTGCGGACCCTTGAGTGACCACTGTCTCCATGTACCTTTCAAAAATATTAAAATTGGTGAATTTAATACGCCTTTCTAAACAAGCCTGAACTTTCAGATTATTTATCACAAATGTGTCACCAAAAAATCTTGAAAATGTCTAAAAAAAAAAAAATGCACAAACCTCGCATACCGTACCCAAAATGTCTCGTAGTGGGCACATGCAATGAGACATCTTTCGAACAAGATGACAATTCTTTCTTGATTTCCTTTCTCGATTTCAAAGTCAAGATACTTGTGCCAGTTTTTGATCTGCTTCAAATCAAGCGGCTTGACATGGAAATATGTCCGTTTGATCTGAATCCAAGAAAAAAAGCATCCTCAAGAGGCAATGAAGACAAAAATCCTCGAATTAAACCTTGTTCTCAAATTTGATGCGCTGGTCGTATTCTTGCTTGGTTGCCTCATGAACACACAGCCACTTTGCTGTGAAGGCTTCCCTGAGTTTATCTTCCTTCATTATCCCACCACACGTGCGAAGCAGTTCTTTCAATTCTATCTCATTCACTAGCTTCTCTGGGTGATTTTGGCGGATGAGATCTAGGAAACTAAACACACATTCCACCAATGATGCGTACTGTATCTTGAATAAGGATATTTAAATTAATCAAGCACTCACTCGTCCCAATGCTTAGCATAGGCTTTCGTTGGGATAGAGATGAGGCGTTTGTATACGGCAGACACTTTCTGCAAACGACCTGCAGATTTCTCCCACTTTATGTAATGCGACCACAACGGATCTGATCGAAAGTCCAGTCCGGCAGTTTTAACCGCCATTTCATACTTCCTACAGAAAAAATAAACATAAAATACATATTGTATAAGTATGAGAGCAAGGATAATTCTCGTGACGGAGCACACATACCCACGAATGGCGGCTTCCGAACACAAATCATCCTTCGATTGCAGACTCTTGAATTTATCAAGATAGGTTACCCACAAGTCGATTGACAGGGGAATGGCTTCTAATCCTCGATCTAAAATACTCAACGCTCTACACACGCGATGAGCACAAACACAGAATGGTTATTAATGCAATTTTCGAAAAACCGAAAGAAAAAAAACGGGGTTCCCCCACCAACAATAAACAAAACTCACCTGTCGTCGTTGCCATGCGTGGATTCCAGCATCGCGTACTTCTTCCAGTACATGTAGCAGTACGGATACAGAGGCAGGAAAGCATTAAAGACTCCCCGCTGGGCTTCAAGGTTGTCCTTGTTCTTGGTCTCAACATGACTGAGGAGCGTCGACCAGAGATCAAAATTATGGGGATCAGATTGCACAAGAGCCCAGAGCTCATGAAAACCCTGAGTTGTAGCTTTCGGCGCGTCATCACCGCGGGGGTTGGCAACATTGTCAAGCCTTAGGTCTGAGGGTGGTACGTAATTATGCACATTGTCAGCATCAAAATCAACAGACTGTCGTGGATTTTCACGCCACGCGTCGGGTGGTGACAGCGACTGCGAGCAAGCGAGGCTGTAGTGGGACAAGGAAGAAGGCGGCGGCGGCGGCTCGAACATCATTACACCTGTGCCACGGGGCAGGTTCACGCTTTGGGGTGGATGCGACGGGATTTGGTCAAAATGCACGGGTTCTTTCGGGGGAAACAAGTACGGTGCAGAATTCATAGCGTGTTTCTGAGCACTCGGTTTCGCGCGATTCACTCCGCAATCCAGCTGAAATCATATCGTCACCCATGTGACCATTCCGATACACTTTCTTCTAGGATGAAAAGACAATTTTCACGCGTCAAAAAAGTTTTCATCAAGTTTCCATTCACTACAACACCATTAACCCACGCTTCCAACACGCGAGCGATGGGACAAAAGTTTCAACAAAGCACAAAAAAAAGGTGTGCTTGATACCATCAGAGGACTATCGTCAATTAAATCATTTGGCCCACACTCATTCGAAAAAAAATGCATTACACGCGAGAGAAAATTTTAATTACCTTTGGGGGCAGATCTAGCACCCGTATTTCGTCTTTTAACTATTTCAACCCTCAGGTTTAAAAAAGTTCCTTGATTATTTCAACGAAAAATCGGAGCAATTTGAAGAAATATTTTTTGAAACGAAAATCCTTCCGATAGTTTCATAAAAATCGTGCATTGGTACTGAAAGATTTCGAGAAGACTGGAGCTTGAAAAACAAAGCAACATTTGTAGCGTGAAAATCATTGAACAAGGAAGAAGGCGCGGCGGCTCGAACATCATTACACCTGTGCCACGGGGCAGGTTCACGCTTTCTGGTGGATGCGACGGGATTAGGTCAAAACGCAAGTATTCGTTAGGGGGAAACAAGTACGAACAGTTGAACGACCTGGAAAAAAATCTGACAAGTGCGTCAATACCTCTTCCCTGAAACCATTTAGATATTTCAACTACGGTATTCGCGGTGATCGTCATCAAGTTTTTCAATTCGAGAAGTTTCGCCATTTCAGGAATTACACGATGCAAAAATGCACGCGGCACAAGCCATACAGCCCGGTGGAAATGGCTGCTATGAGAAGGCAACCCGCACCCTTCCACAGATTCAACCGAACAGGGCTCAATGGAAATAACTTGAATGGGATAACGAAACGTCCAGCTCGAAGAGGGAGTACGACGCAATGCCTCACTCTTCAAAAAATGTAGTAACCTTGGAAAAATTCTTTCGTTGCCCCCAACAAATGACGGCCGATAACGATAAATTTAACGCACTATTGCGTGGTACGAAAAAAAAATGATGACGTACCCCCAAATCAACAAGAAAACTCGGGAGGTTTTCAGGACCACCAGCACATCACGAGAGGCACAATAAATTCCAAATTGGAGATGCAAACGCAGTTGATCCGCGTTTCCATTCCTACACTGCCCGGCAAAACGGCCAATCCAAGACTCCGCCCTCAGCGACTATTAAAGGGCGACTCATTTACACGTCTTACGAAGGACACGACGAGTTACAAAATGGGATGGTTCCCATTGAACGATGAGCAATCACGTAGGAAATATAGCCATGAAATAAATTACCCCCGCCGCAAACAGCCAATTCCAAAAATACTTCAAACCAGTTTACACACAATACCGCAGAATCACTGGTCCAACGCAACCGGCTATATGCCCGAGCACGCGTGAGCACTACAACCGCGATTGGATCATACCTATGCAAAAATTAACTCATATCACTAGGCTAATCTCCCAACAATGCCCCGTCAATTGATCTGTCACGGCCTCGGATGGCATTCCATCTATAAGCGGAGGGAAACGCGTAGCAACCGATTCCCTGTTACATGTGTAACAGCATAGAAGGCAGCCATACTTCTCCATCCCCTCGGCGCCCCCTATGAAAATTGGGAATCCCGAAGGCAACAACAGGAAGCAAGCAGAACCCTTATTCTCACAGAGGAAGGGGTGCTGTGGGCGTTGAGGAGTAAAAGGGATTGCCCTTCAGCACACAATTTCTGGGACAAACCTGGAACCGTCTGCCTGCTAAACCGTTCAATAGACACACAGGCCATGGTCAGAAAGATGAGGTGCTGAGCGCAACAACAGGGACATCATCTGCCAAAATGGTCTGTCAGCTTATGCTGGTGATTTGGTTGTTACAATACATAAATACGAACAACCGAATTATTTTGTGTTCATTAGAAGTACTGACTAAGCATTACCCAATTGAAGACATGTTATCATCGGGAAAATACCTGATGATATACACACACACGTGAGCCCACGTGAGCTCAGAGTCGTAAATAATAAACGACTCTGAACTGGGTCATAGAAAAAGAATATAATAAAAGACTCTGAGCTGAGTCGTAAAAAGAATAATCTACGACTCAGGTGAAACAAAGAAGACGAGAGAAAAGAAGGAAGAGATTAATTGCTCTTCCTGACGAGGCGATTCTCGAGGCTAATATATCCAATATTTATTGTATTATATATTGACCTTCCTGGAAGGACGTAGCCTTGCATTCCATCCTCCCCTCCCAGGATCTGTCCCTCAATTAAGGAGTACACTTCCTGGTACTTCCTGGTACACCTGACCTTGCCCTTGATATTCTGGAGTATATAAACTCCAGGAGCATCTTCCCCAAATCANACATGCGACGCCAAGGCTTGTGAAGAACAGTAAAAAATTCTTTGAACTAAAAGAAAATTAACTCATATTTTTCTTTGGGACTAGACCAGTGAAATACACTGTGGAATACTTTTTCCAAAACAGTGTCTCATACCTTTTTATATACCTTTTTATATACTATTGAAAGAAACGCTGTGGAATACTTTTTCCAAGGCAGCGTCTGATTTTATATTGAAACACTGTGGAATACTTTTTCCAAGACAGTGTTATTTTATATTGATACTTTTAGTATTTGGTTGACTGATTGACAATTTTCGTTGTGATTGACTCTGAATGACAGAAAACAAGGAAAATATCAACCCAAGGCAGATTATATATTATACTGCCACAATAGCCCTTCCTGTACAAACTGTTCAACATTCAGATCAACTCTTCCACGAGTTTGTGGACGACTTGAATATTTTATTGCAAAGATATCAATTGAGATTCAATCTTGATCAACTTAACCGACTTGTGTGAATGTCAGGCACACAAACAAATAACAACATTCAGATCAACTCTTCCACGAGTTTGTGGACGACTTGAATATTTTATTGCAAAGATATCAATTGAGATTCAATCTTGATCAACTTGACCGACTTGTGTGAATGTCAGGCACACAAACAAATACCATAGCGATATTACCTTACAATCTTCGATTTACACAAACCAGGCGAGTACTTCAGCCTTACAACGACAACAGAAATAATATTCTGAACGGACATCTGCAAAGTATCCGAGAAACTGCTGTCTCAGCTGTAATCCAGTACTCATATGACCCAACCCAAACCATTGAAGGAATTGGGATATACAATCGATCTTAGGATTTGAAAATAATATTCTGAACGGACATCTGCAAAGTATCCGAGAAACTGCTGTCTCAGCTGTAATCCAGTACTCACATGACCCAACCCAAACCGTTGAAGGAATTGGGATATACAATCGATCTTAGGATTTGTGAAATACGACAAGAATTATATATTCTTGATAAATATAGAACACAGTTGAAAAGTTCTGACTCACGAATCCAGATATATAAAAGATTACTACAGCTTGAAGAAGACGTAGATAATCTGATTAAAGAAATCCTTGAAAATCCGTACGTTACTGATTCTACTAAATTTGCTCAGATAAAAAATCAAAATAGCTAAAAAAGATTGTTGGTTTGAATCGACTCCTCAATTAAACCCTCTTCAATATAAACAAAGTCCAAGTGGAAAATCACTTGAATCAGAATTTCTAGAAGCAGGATTCTTTGACTTTGATACACCTTACACAAGGGTATTAAAAAGATTGAATCAACCTGATTCACCTACCAAAATAGATACTTCATTTACTTCAGACACTTCAGAACAAGATCAGAGTTACTTTGAAGAAGGATTAACAGACAATAATTGTCAATAACAAATACAAGTTTGTTGCCCACAACACGACAGTGATT